GAGTTGATGGAACGGCACTAAATAGGATAGATTCAGTGAGTGACTTAGGACTATATTTTTCGAAGGACTTGACATTTCGTGAGCATATAACTAAACTTTGCAAAAAAGCATCGCAAAGCATAACGCAGTTTAAGATTTATACAAAGACAGATTAAGATTTTGATTAGTGTAGAGACATTAAAAATTCTATATAATGTGCTAGTCAGAAGTCATACTCTATAATATGGAATCCCGAGGAAAAAAGTTTGCTTAATAGTTGAAAAAATCCAAAATATTTTTTTAAAAGGCTTACGTACTTTAGGTCTTATAATGTGCGGGATGCACCTATGACTGGTTTCAAATCAAACAACGATTGTATATACTGTGAAGATCTGGAGGCTGCCTTTTGTCTGGTAAGGTTGGCTGGTGGCTCTTCTTCGGGTTTTTCTATGTATCTCGACCTTAGGCTGTTTTTGGGTTGTGTATATATTGGCGCCAGTGCGCCTTTTTTAGGTGAGCAAGCCTTCCTTTTCCCGCCTAAAGTTACCTCACCCCTTTGTACTATTTATTCATCTTTCTCACGTTAATTTATTACAAATACTTTTCTATTATAAATTTCTTACTGCTAATTTGTACATAACGTCTTAAAACTACATATAAGTGGTACATAACAACCTCAGTAAAGCGCCCGCAGGCGATTTGTGCCGGGCGACCTACTTATACTACCCTGCCCCCCGCTTCAGGTGTATAAGCAGTCGCGCTAACTGCGTATGCGCTCATCTGCGCGCGAGTCGGATCAAGCAGGCATATTCTCTATTTTATTGGAATAAAACGAGACACATATACAAACTTTATTTTTACCACTTAAGACTATTAGAACAAATTCGAGTACAATAAATAAACCTTAAACTATTTACACAGGGAGAGGGAGAGCAGTGCCGCAGGTTTGCGCGCTGTGATGTGGATGTTAAAGCTACCCTTTTCAAGGCGTTTGTCTCACCTTCTACACGTGTAGTCAGCGGATAAGCTACACTAAAAAGGCGGCCAATGCGGCTCTGCGTGTTCAATGTAACAATGGATTTAGGAGGTTGTTGGGACTGCCACGCTTTTGTAGCACATCACGCATGTTTGCGGAGGCGCATATTGACAGCTTTCATGACTTAAAATTGGTGGCAGGCCCATTTTGGCAACAACAGGCATACAGGAAAACTAACTTTCTGGAGGAGGCCTATGTCGAAAGACAAGCTGATGTGGATGTAATTTAATTATAGGAAAATGTTTTGAATTATTAATATTGAAACTATTTAAGTTTTTCTATTATTTTTAGTATTACACTAGGTGTAAGATATTTTTATATTTAGGAAATGAAACTATTTTTCTGGATTTAAATCGCGTATATTTGTTTTTTCAAACAAAGGTTTAGTTTTAGTTTATTCTAATTTATATTATTAATTAATAATAAATTGAACTTAATAAAAATTCATTCAATAAAATAATTTGTAAAACTTAATGTAGCGTAAAACTTAATATAGGGTTTTGAATGTTTCTTTGTAAAATTAAAAATAAGGTATTTAATTAATAACTATTTTAACTATAGTGAAAAAATTGGGTTGTTTGCATCAATATTAGACATAACTGGTGGAAGATTGTACCACCTCAGTCAACCGTGACCATGAAACCTGTAAAGGGCCCGAAACGTCGGTTTGTTTGAAACAACAAATATACGCGATTTAAATCCGGAAACATAGTTTCATTTCCTATGTGTAACAATCGCGAAAACCTAAGAACTCGATATTTTATATTCTTTAATAATTTTTTAATAATGAATTGCATTTTCTCATAACAAAGTATACATAATATTTGAATTGAATTGTATCTGCAATAAAGGCTATTATTATTATCTATTTTAGACTCTCGCGTCTCCCAATGTTACTATTATTGTTATTTTAATAATGATGTGATTTGACATTATAAATTTGGATATATATCTGTAATGATATATGTGTTTGCACAATGTAACATAATAAACAAATAAATACTTACTTAGAAGATATATCATCTATATCTGTTGATATGCCTCTAATTGAGCCAACGGGTATAGGATTTTCTTGATTTCTAGTCTGAAATGGCAAGCTTTGTGCTAGTTCCCTATCTACTGGCTTATTGCTCTGCCCTACTTCTTGAATTTTGTTAGTAGATTGACACTCCCTGTTGAAAAACAAATTGTTTTTTAATTTTATTATTTAAATAAGTGGCATATTTGCAAAAATAAATTCATTTTTATTTGTAATTTAAAAAAAACCCCATTGCAGGTTTCTAAGCTCATAAGTTTTTAAAATTTAAACTTACAGCACCTGTTTTCAGGTTAGCTTCGTAAACATGATTGTACTTCAAAATTCATTCGTAATCTGCACTAATTTGTGTAATGTTGTGCTCAGAGAGTGAGTTTGAGGTGCGTGACACCCCACACAACCATTTGTGTAGACAAAATTCCATTCCATTCCAGTGAATACATTTTTTTATTATTAGGTATTAAAATAGTAGAGATGGACAAAAATATGTTGTAGTAATATTTATAGAATGAATATATTGGCATTTTAAAGATTATGTTGTAATGTGGTGCTTTTTTTGTTTATTGTTTTGAGATAGCTGTAAAATGCCACGTGAATTGACTGTTTAAGAGATTGTGCAGCAATTGGAAGACAAAGACGAAGAAGCTATTGATAGCGCTTCTGAAGGTTCTTATGCACAGTGACTTCATGATGAACAACATCATGAAGTCACTGTGCATAAGAACAAAGCGAAAACTAAAGTATTCGCACACCACCTCAACTGCTACAAGAATGACATAAGAGGCTTGAAGTGAAGATCCTAACTTGGCATCTAGAGTAGTCCAGTCGCCTTCACATAAACAATGCCATGTATGTCCTAGAATCAAGGACCGAAAAACCAAGACGGAATGTTCGAAAGGTTTAAAACATATGTGCGATGATTACATGATTCTAGTTTGCCTGTGATGTGAAAAATTGAAGAAGAAAATGAGCTTTTACAAATGTTGTTTTTTAATTAATAAAATGTTTTATCAGTCAGAACGACATTTATAAGCTAGGAAATAAGTGTGACCAAGTATCGTCATTAATAAAAGCCTGATTTTGCATGTATTTTGTTTTTTATTTCACAAATCTAATTTGGGGTGTTAGACACCCCACACAACCAATTGTGTAACTTTTTTAGCACAATTAATTAAGGGTGAATTATAAGCATTAATTGAGCATCGTAAAGAGGCCATATATGCAAGTTATTTGTTTCAGTTCAAGGTTCAGGCTTTCTGGTGATTAAAATGATCCTCAATTAGAGTACATGTAGCTCACCATTTACACTTCTTTTTCTTTAAATACGGCTCAGCACTCTTCAGATAATTTGCATATTTATTTTTATAACTGGTATTGCTATCTTTAAATTTCTTTGTGATTTTCAGCTTTTCCTGAGTACCCAATGACAGCCAGGACTTCGTCGCTTCAATCACAGTGTTCCTGGACTGGAAACAGGTGAAATAAACTAATATGTCTAATGATAACAATTTAAGTTGTAATTATTATAATATCAAATAAAACCGAAATAGTTTTATTTGATATATAATAATTACAACTTTACCTTTGTCTTACCTCAGGTGCGGATATTCCTTTTCTTTTACAATACAGTTTAACATAAAATTGTAATGGTGTTCGGGGTAACTGCGCCGATTTACGATTCATTGTGCAAATACAATTATTATTGTTTATTTATAAAGCATTGGCATTGGCCAGAGATCAGAGAGTTTAGAGCCATTAGTTTAATGGTAACAAATAATCATGAAACGCACGTGATATAAAAATTACTAGTAAAACCCGCCAATTTTTTTACACTTTTTTTCTTATTTCTTTTTTTTGGCTTAGTTTCAGCCACATACAAAGTGTTTTAACTTGGTTTTAAAACGGGGAAACTTTTATAATATCATAGAATGTAATTTGGAAATGGAATTAAGTTGGAGAAAAAGGGATCAGGCGAGGAATTACGAGATTGACACTTTTGCAGTATAAAAGTATAGTTCAAAGAGTTAAGTATAGTATAGTTCACTTCACTTTTTATTTTTATGGCTCCATCAATATGAGAACTGATGATTTTGCCAATGTCACAGTTGAAAGAAAAAAAAACGAAACAAAAAAAAAATTATAGTATTAAAATTATTATTTTATTAATTATTATTAGTATAGTTCAAATAGTTGCGTTTTTTAGTTGATTTTCTTCTTTCACATTTTTTTTTCTTAATTCCATAAAGGAAAAGGCAAAGGTTTTACACCAAACAGCCAAGTCTTGGTACATTATTTTTGAGCCATGTCTTCGTTTAATTGTTTCTGTAAATATGGCCGCCACAAAGAGGACAGGAAATTTGAGGCGGCGTGTTTGGATTGACTCGGGATTCCTTAAAACGGGCCGATACAGGTATTTTAGTAGGGGATTCGTATAATTTCGCGTTTTAATGTTCGATTAAGGCACAATAGCACTATCCTATTCCACATTAAACTAGATTTCACAGAATAATTGAAAGTCAAAATAAAAACGACACTTTTCCCTCCAAAAGGTCCAGAGCGAATCTCTTCTTTCACATTGCCTCTTGACAACTGTAATCTGATGTTGACTATTTTTTTTCCATCCTTTATGTGTTGATTGGTTGAGTCCAAATTGACGTTCTAGTGGTGTATTAATTTTAAACAGTTAAAGCGTAACAAAACAAGAAATGTTTTTGATGATTAATTTGAATTATTTTGGACTAAAAATAAATTATATTGGAGTTACATGTAATAATACAAAAGTGACAAAATATATTTATTATAAAAGTTTCACACAATTATTTATTGATGAAAAAGAGTAGACACGATTCGGAGAAAAAAAATATTCCATCTAACTTCAGGTAAGTCTCTCTATCAAACTCAACACTGTCACTACTACGGCTACGGCATCGAACAACCTAAAATTGCACCGCAAAGAATAGAGTAATACGCATGTAATACGGGAGGAATCAGGAACAGGCACAGCAACCACGGCACCGACCTGCTATGTGTGCTCGCAATTATAGATTATTTTTTGATAGCTCGGTGTATTTTAGCGAAAAAAGATTCGTAATACTGACAGAAGACAATCATGTCTGCTAATAAAAAGTAAGTTTCTTTTTAATCAATACGACATAAATTTGATTACATGACAGAGTTCTAAATGTTTTCTTGTCTTAGGTACGGTCTTATATTACCTGGAAAGGACAAACCGCAGCCGCTTACATTTCAAGCTTCTCGGAATGTGTTCGGAAATGATTCCGACTCTGATGATGAAATTAGGAAAAGACCTGCTTTACTTCGACCCAGTCACAACATAAACAGACAGGTAATAATTGGACATAATTACGCAAACAAGAACCAACCCACACCTCGAGTGAAATTCAGTTATGTGTTTAGGTACACCAGATGTGACCTTTACCTGCTCACAAAATATCCTGGCAATATATCAAGCAAAAACGGAGAAAATAAAAGTTCTCCAGGGTAGATAGATAAGTAACTTTTTAAAAGCTAAAGAGAACCATGCTGCTTAACTTAATTTAATTTATTTTTTAAATATGCTAAATGTACCAGTAGATTAGCGTTTTCATTACAAAAACTAGAACCAAGCCTCATGGTTCTCGTTAATGAAATAAAAAGGAACATTTTCTTTACTTTTTATTGCTAAAAGGAACCAAGATGCGTTTGGTTCTATTTTGCAAATCAAATATAGTCCCTTATGAAATAACCAAGATGCTTAGTCCTTTATAGGTAATTATATTTTGTGAAAAGAGTGGGAGATAATTACATTCCAATATACAATTATTATAATGATAATTTACATACATAAAATCGTGATTCGTCCTAATGATTGTGATTATTAAGAGTTTACTGAACTATGGTTATGAATTTTCAAAAACAGCAACACAAAAAGTAAGCTGGTAAAGTGGTAAATCTAACATATTCGTTTCTACTATAATTCATCTCATTCTATGAACTTCATTGATTTAGTTTTTCTGCAGGTCTTCATTATTTACACATAGTCATCTGGCGTGTATAGTCTTTATTGCAATTGTAGAACACATTATATTCGACCATTATCTGTATATTGACCTTCATAAAAATAATTCCAAAAGTAGTAAATGCTTCACACCGTCTTCAAGTCTCTGCTTTGCATGCTTAATAAGGCAGGAGCCCACTTCCCGAGGACCCCCACTCGCTTCTCTTTGTATCTAAATGTTGCAATGTCCTGAGTGGGTGTCCATATTGTTAACATAAAGACAGCTTTGTCTTTTATAAAATACCACATTTTTGGGTAAATTAGTATGCGTAGAAGAGGTAAAGTTTTATGCAGGGTTTGGCCTGCTGTGATTGTTTTGGTGGAGTTCCAAGGGCTAATTTCGTAGTATGAGACACATGTGAGCAGTTTATTTACTATGTTTATGAGAAATGCTCCGCTTTCAGAAGCTAAGTCAAACACATGCCGTGTTATTACATTATTATTACGGTAGCAGTAAGAAACAAGCCTCAACAAGAAAAGGCCCAGGTTGAAGATGCTTACACTAAGCACTTACAAAAAGGTCAGTATTTACAAAACCAGCTCACAGGTGACCCATCAAGATCCATTCATCAAAACAACCACATTCGACCTGCAAACAACTTTACCTCTCCTGCGTATACACCCAGGAGAGGTAAAGTAAACCCAAAGCTGTCTCACCTCAGAGGGTGATCCGTGAGGTGTTTTACAAAAGACAGCTTAGGGTTTACAATTTGGACATCCACTCAGGAAGCAACAACCATTCCTATTGCAATGTTTGGGTAGAAGGAGAAGCGAGTAGGAGTTTGAAGTGAACTCCTGCTTTCTTGAGCACGTAATGGAGAGCCTTAACGACGGCATGAAGCACTTAATACTTTGGAGTGACACTTGCGTAGGCCAAAACAGAAATATAAAGATGAAGTTGACACTAAAAACTTTATTAGATGATTACTCAAGAGTTCAAACAGTAGTCTTCGCTTTCTAGAGTCTGGAGACTGGAGTGAAGAATGTGATGCGGTCCAATCGACTTTGCTCTAAAATTTCAACAATTTGACAGAAGACTATAATATGTAAATAACGAACACATACAGAAAAAATAAACCAATCAAAGTTTATAAATGTAAAAAAGATTTTTGTTGTTTACTAACCTGGAAAAAATAATAAAAAGGTAAAAAGTAACTGATGGATCAAAAGAGTATCTTCTTAATATAAACGAGATTATGCTTAAGATATTGTGTTTTTAATTTTTGAGAGATGTAACCTAGATTAAAGACTAAATGAAAGTAAAAGTAGATAAAATTTACGAGAAAATACTGCCTGATTCACCTTAGAATTAATGGATCTAGTTTGGTCTAAAAGAAATCCCATCCCTGAAGCAAAGTTAAACGGCCCGAAAAGGTTGTTGCATCTTGTACTAGAAGATGCACAACACTTTTACAAGAACTTAACACGGAATGATACAGTTAAAGATAATATAGATGAGTTTTCTGGTGAAGTTGATTTTGAGGTAGAAGTGGACGATGGTGATTAGGTAATGTGGGGTGATGAACAACAGTGTTTTACTTAATAGTGTGTATGTTCTTGTCATAACAAAATAGTGACAGATAGATAACAAAGGGATTTAAAGTTATTTACTGTAATCTGTCTACCTGTAAAACCTAAACCTTTTTGCAGTAAAGAATCATCCCACAAAACAGTATTTTTGCAATAAAGAACCACCAGGTTTTTGATCTAAAAAAATACTTAAATCAAAGAAAAATCAATATAAATCAGTTTTCCTATATCATTCTCAATGCTACACATAACTCTGTTAAGTTTTTTGTCTCAAATAACTTACCTATTTGTTTCTTCACACTGATTTTACAAAAATCTAATCATCTCGAAAGTGACATTTTGTGGGTTGGTTCTTGTTTGCATAACTATGTCCAATTTAAACTTTAAATTAACCATTTTTAAATTGTTAAATTTGTATTAGACACAAGTCATAGCACATGATATCAATAAAGAATACTAAAGGAAGCAAACAATAGTAAAATAATGTTTGACATGGTTTGTTCTTAACTGTTCTTTATGAGAGTGTTTCATCTTTCATTATTTTGTCACTTTTTGGCAGCATCTACGCTACAGGTTACAAAAAAGTGTACTAATGAACTGTTTAATGAATGTAACACATTACAGGCAAAAATATCTCAAGAAAAAGCTATAGAAGAAGATCCCACTGTGTACCAGTATGATGAAATATATGACTCCATGGCCAGTAAGAAGGAGGAAGAGAAGACTAAGGGCAAAGAAGAAAAGAAGCCGAGATATATCGAGAACTTGTTGAAAGCTGCCACCAAGAGAAAAATTGAAAATGAGAGAAGGATTGAAAGACAGGTAGATTTTTTGGAGAATTTGTGTAATTTATCGAGTGGAAGAGGCGAAGGTTTGTAAGAAGCATAGTAAGTGGAGGTGCATGATCTCTGCCTACCCCAGTAGGAGACAGGCGTGATGATATGTAATTTGTGTAAATTCTTGGTAATTTCATTAAGATTAAAAACCTGATAAAATATCACTTATCATTCCTACTTAAGCATTTGCATATTATATAGATTTTTCCTTCTTGATTTCTTGAATATTGCAACACTGCCGTAAAATAGCAGCATAAAGCAAAATGTCTGTGTTGTATACTAACGAGAACAGTTTTGAAGTTCCTACGTATTGTTTCACACTTTATTGCTTTATACATAAACTTAAAGTCTACCTTATTTCAGATTCAAAAGGAAAGGGAAAAGGAAGGGGATGAATATGCTGACAAAGAAGTGTTTGTCACTTCAGCTTACAAGAAGAAGCTCGAGGAGATGAAACTGGAAGAAGAAAGAGAGAAGCGGGAAGAGTACTTAGAGAGCATTGGGGATGTCACTAAACAGAAAGACTTAGGTATTAAATGTCAATCGTTTTCAAATGTTTTTGGCATTGTTGAAGTTCATCAATTTATGTGTCCTTCTGTTTTGGCCTAACATTGAAAAACCATCTGATTAAGATAGTAAGCTCGCATAAGTGTTATTAATATATTTATTTTTGATGTCAGGTGGATTCTATCGACATTTGTATGAACAAAGGTTGGGATCAGATAAGAATAAAGAAGATGATGAAGCAAATATAGCTGTAGGTAAACTACAGACTCAAAATAATGAAGATGAAAAATCACCAGAAAAACAAGAAACACATAGGAAAAGGAATTACAGAAAGCGAAAATCTTCTGCTGATTTAAAGAAAAATTTATCTGAAGGAGAGATTGATGATTCTGATGAGGAAATTAACCGTTTAAACATCACTGATATTAGAGAAGCGAAGAGGACTAAGAATTATGCTGAGCTTGATGCAGATTCAGACTTCTCTGTTGATGATCCCAGTGATGAAGATGTCGATAATAAGGAAAGTGTTAAAAAATCACCAGAGGTAACTCCAAAACCACCACCATCAAATGATACATTCAAAGAACCTGCTCCCAAAGTGGAATCTAAAGATACAGAGTCCAAGAGCACGAAGACTAAAGAGTCAAAGGATGAGCCAGTTCCGCCACCTAAGCCTAAAATTGATATATGGAAAAAGAGAACTGTAGGTGATGCTTTTGTACAAGCTGTAAAGAGATATTATGAAAGAAAAGCAGCTAGAGGTTGTTAACAAAAAAATGTTCTTAACATGGATAATTTTATTGATAAAATCTTAGATTATTTTAATAACTGTTCAAACAGCAACATAATGCGCCTTGCAGTGAACTGAAACAAAAAAAAAATGTATAAATAAATGTATTTTAAAAAGTAAGTGTTTATTGACATGTAAGTTGAAACTAACCAATAAATTCCGATACAGGGTCATTTTCGCCTTCTGCCCTCATGGTGCCAGTTATTTCTTCGTTTTCAACCATTGGGAGTACTAGCTGAACAAATTCGGGAGTGTAAGGTGGCGCAATAGCGTCTAGTACCTAAAAATCATAAATGATTTAAGAACATGAAGAGAGAATAATTTATGAAATGATTTATGGTCCTGAAGAGAATAATTTATGAAATATTATATTATTATTTTCTAAAAATGTACAGATTATTTCTTATTTTCCACACATATTGCTTTGTATAACTTGTCTACTATATATATTTATTTATTTATTAAACTTTATTGACCACAATACAAAGGGTACAAAAGGCGGACTTAATGCTAAAAGCATTCTCTACCAGTCAACCTCTGAGAAAAACGAAATTCACAAACGCGGTAAATAAACAGAATATTACGGAATATTTATTATTAATATTTCAAATTATTAATTTACCTCTGTAATAAAATATCTAATGAGGGAAATATCAGTGTCGCCTCTCTGCCAGCACTGTTTTACGTAACGCAAGACGGGAACTACACATCCGCGACTCAATAAATTCACCATGCGATCCAAAAGCATCTTTTTTAGTTCCAACTGAAAATCAATTTTACAAATTAAATTTAATAAAATGTAATTCATAAAAGGCTGCATCAGTGTATAAAGGAGGTATCTACTTCTTTATGACGATTTAAGATATCGTGTCAGCAAATTAACACTAATGTGCCAGACTTCTTAATGTTAGGTTTCTTACCTGTACTAAAATCTCAAGTTCATCCTGAGGAGATTCAAACAGCTGTACAAGAAGTCTCAACAATCTATGATGCAGCAGTTGATGACATGAGGCTACTTCATCCAAAAGTGCTAAATGTACTGGGCAATGTTCAGTGCATAGCTTAAAGTATGAAGGCTCTGTGACTACACATTCCACCCAAACTAAAACTCCCATACCCACAACTGGAAATCTGAAAACGATTTTAAAGAAAATTTCAGTATTTTATTTCAGTGATTAGTGGGACGTGTATATATCGATTACGTTATTCAATGTTAATTACTTCTTTATTTCGCGTACATCGCAAATAAAATTAACTACAAAGTCAGTTACGAATCTATGTATAGGATAGGTTAAGTCCAGAGTCCAGAAGAAAATCTCGAGATGTTCATAAAATGTCTTACCTTATACAGTGATACAAAGTCGGTAGCTCTGCAATCAATTCACTAGAACTTGCAGAACTGCAACATACAGCGTGTACTTTTTCGATAGCCTGCATTGTTGGCTTCAGCTCATCCTTTACTGGTCTACCTGGCGTGTGTCCCTCACACACACTCGCAGCATATGCTAATAAGTACATGTACTTTGACTTATGTTCAGGGTTTAGTTTACTTCCTGATTTGAACAGGGCGTCTACAAGAAGTTCTGAAAATAAAAGGGAGGATACACTACTTTTGATTTTACGTTAAGAGACAGGTGCGAGATGCGCGTCATGTCTATCTTATGTAATCAAGATTGATTGAGATTGGACTGTGGTTACCTAGGAACTGTGGAATTCTCAATAAGTGCACTGGTGGGGGCTCTGGCTGCGTGTAAGCGCGGAATAAAACGGTGATATCCGCGGGATTCAGCGCGCCACGGGATAACATGGCCGCAAGTGCAGTGCGCGCATTACGCCACGATTCTCCTGCCGTCAGCGCCAGCGTGATTGGGGTTACGTCATGGCCACTGGAAATATTTTTGTATATGGAAGGACTTACTAAATGACTACTGAGAAACTGGTATACCCTAGAGTGTTTCTTTCTAAATTAATGAAAATGTCGTTCCCACTCCTTAAATACAATTTACAGTCTGCTTAGTTTCGAAATCAAACTATCTATAACAATTTAGCGTACTTATTATACTATAATAATATGTACGTACATCTAAATCTGTCACATTGCAACTTAGTACATAAGAAATTTCCTATCTTTCAGCTTCATTTGGTATGCACTCCAGATGTTCTAAATCTGAATATGCACTATTTTTTTGGAACTCAAGCATATACCAACCAATGAAACCGACGTTGACAAGCGTCGATGACCTTGAGCGATATCGCGCCTACTATAATTTCTCCAATAAGGTGGCGCCATACGCCCCGATGCGGTAAGAGTGTGGTAGTTGGACCTTCCGCTTAATTTAACATAATATTGATTGTCGCTAACAGATGGCGTTGTACTTAAAATACAAACATGCTATCAAACCAAAAAATATCAAAGCATTTATGAACTGGACTTGTTATGCAAACAAGAAACAACCTACACCTCGTGTGAAATTGAGTTATGTATTTAGGTAGAACACCAGACGTGTCCTTTACCTGCTCACAAAAGATCCTGGCAACATACCAACCCAAAACGGAGAAAATAAAAGTCCTTCAGGATACCAACCCTAAATAAGTAACTTTTTAATAGGTAAAAAGAACCTTGCTGCTTAATTTCATATAATGTCTTTTTAAAAATATGCTAAACGGATCCATGTCACATGTACTGAAGTAGTGTAGATCTTTGGCGCTTTCATTACAAAAACTAGAACATGGTTCTCGTTAACTAAATAAAAAGATACATAATGTTTTCTATTTATTGCTATATAATATAATAGTTTCCCTATATCGTTCGCACTGCTACAGTACATCGTTTGTCTCAAACAGATGCGCCGAGTACAAGTTTACCGAGTAACCGAGTACCGAATATTACTCGGTTTAACATTTGCCGAGCCGAGTACTCGGTTCATTACAACCGGAACGCGATGATCCTAAAACCCCCGTTGGTCTAGAATTAGGCCGATATGTCAATGAAAGTTTATTGTCGCGAGAGCACAGTCTTTTCAATGGTGGGCAAAGCATAAAACAAAATATCCAAAACTGGCACAATTAGCACGAGTGTTTTTCTGAGCGCCTGCAAGCACTGTGTATAGCGAGCGGTTATTTGCCGAAGCGGGTAATGTGTATGAAGAAAAAAGGAACAGACTATTACCTGAACACGCTGAAAGCCTCGTAAATATTCCTACATCATAACTTTCCTTTGTTAAATTTTAAATTTTAATAATGTAAATTTTCGTTTTAAATTACTAAATTGCTAGAAATTGTTACAATTGTCTACAATTTCTAGTAATAAATCTTTTTTGAATTTTTGTAAATATATTGTTGATTTTACTTTATTATGTCTATAGCTGTGATGCTTTATTTTAACCGAGTACACTACTCATGAACCAAGTTATTCGGCCGAGTACATCGAGTACCGAGTAGTAGACGACTACTCGGCGCATCTCTAGTCTCAAATAACTTACCTATTTATTTCTTCACACTGTTTTTACAAAAATCTAATTATCTCGAAAGTGACATTTTGTAGGTTGGTTATAGTTTGCATAACTATGTCCAACTACATATCTCGTAAGTATCGTGCTCGACGGTAGACAGCCGATTACAATACAATTTAGACTTAGAATAATAACGCATAGAATGATAGTTTCATATCAAACGAACTGTCACAAGTGTAGCAAAAATCAAATTCATGCAGGCTAGTTTTAGTAGTAGGTTAATTTTCGGTTTTGTTGTTTGTTGTAACAAGTTGAAACGCGTTACTTCCTTGTGGAATGTGATGTCAGTATCTATTTTATGTTTGTGTGACGTATTTTTACACTCATTTACCGCACATTTCGTGATTTTTAGCTAAAATTTTTGAGCTGTTCGCGGTGCAAGTTGACCTTGAGCACTGACAGCCCACCCGCTCATGTAGGCCCAATTGGGAGCGCTTCAATTTGCCTCACTTAGCGTGTGCGGACTAGGTTTCGATGCGCTATTATTCTAAGAATATAAATTAATTTGTCAAAACCATGTCAAAACAGAGGTCTGGCAACGTATCCCACGAACTGAAGCAGAAGAATTCAACGTTGTAATTTTACTAAATAATCAAGACCGCAAACAATAATTTCATTGTTGTTTTGAATACTTTGTGTTTTAGGTTCTAATCCAACCAAAAATATTTTTTTTTTCTTCTCACCTAGTGGTAAAAAATTTGACTTTAAAAAAAATATTTTGTTTTGATTTCAACGAATTGGTGCATTATATTTACTTATTTACGTATTTTTTTGTGTATGATATTTTTTCACACTGTTAAGGCCTGTCCATAATTTGCAAGCAAATATTTAGCTCGTACTTTAGTAGGCGAAAGTTACTTTTTACTCCTAAATTTGTAATTTGTTTTTATTTAAAACAAATAAAGTGTCGGATCAAGATAAGTACCATTTAAATAACCACACCAAATTTGGTAGTAAGCAAGTTTGGTTTGCCCGAGAAAAATATGTCAAAAAATAACCACCAGAGTCTCTCTGTAATCCAGTTTTTGTATTACCTATGACAATAAGCAATATTCTAGGAATTTCAAGCTACACTTCAAGATACGTGTTACAGTATGTACTATTTTCAAAGTTCCACATGCTATGTTATCACCTAAAAACTTACACAAAAACACCATATTTAAGCAATTTTGGGCACCTCATCGCCTTAAAAGGAAACAAGACTATATGTATAAACATGTGTTTAGTAATAATTGAATGAGTCTGGATATCCTTAAATTTTATGGTAAATATAAAATTACAAATGCTACCTTTGTTGAGCACATCTGGTGATCTCTTGGCTGAGCCTCTTCATGATAGCCCCACCCCTTGGCTCTTGAGATAATATATGCACAATGACTTGACTGTACACATATGTGTGAGCTCCATGGCAGACCATTTTCTGGTAAGCAAAGTTGTTTGATATTTTTATTTTCTTGCATATGTTATGGTAATTATGTAAAAGTAAACTTTTTGTAGTGACAATAAAATTTTGTGTATGGTAATCATACTTTTATTTTTCTAAACATATTAAATGTAAAAAAATAAACATTTTGGAAAGTAACAAGGAGAACACAGAAAAGCCAACAAATTTGAGTAAAATTATTTAAAATTTTAATATACTTACAGCACATTCATTGACACTGTTCTGCCAGTCATCAGAGCTCTGCAGGAAGCCCACTATGGCTGACTTGAGCACTCTAGAGAACACCTCAATCTGTTGAGCTGCAGTTGATATGCTGGTGATCTCACCTTGGAAACCAGCATCCGAAATCAACTGAGAACCAGTGAAAAGTTATATAAGTCTGAGGTAAAACTAAATATTACACTTCATAAGAAGTTCTCTCATATATTACAAAAGTCGTAAATTACCAAGATCAGGCAAAGAATGCAACTGTACTTTTTATTGTAGACAAAGAGACCTCTAAGCTGAGAAAAGCACAAATAAACAATTAGATTTGTTTGACATTTTAATGGAAAATGTGAATGAACAGCACACTCACAGTGTATTTTTAAACTTCTTGTAAAAATAGAATCTTGAGAGAATTTTACCTTAATAGTAAAGTTAAGCATAAGGCAGTCAGGGTACTCCTCAGCCAGTCTGTAAATCAGGGATCTCCAAGTAGGGTGCTCTATCATTTCTGTTAGCCATGCTGGAGTCTGTGAACATACATTAGTGTCAATAAGGTCAAAATTAAGTAGATGGGTTATATTAATAAATGGTTAACAAATTTCTTTTCAGTAACTTAATAGAGATTACATGAAAGTAGAGAAAAAATAACTAAATCATTGGTATACTGTTGGTCTAGTTGAATGAAAATTGAGTTTTTTATAAATTAAGTGTACCTAGCCAACCTAGGGGTCGAAACAAAACTGCGAATCGGCGCGAAGCGAATTCGCAATGCAGAACACTGCGACGCGAATTGATGCTATGCGATTTCGAGCAGCAAAGTGTCTCACTGACACGATTTTTGTGATTATTTTCGACAATCGCCAACTGTACTGAACATATTTTTTAAACTACGTAGCGACAGGGATCCTAAAGTGTTGAACTGCTGTTAATGTAAAATAGATTAACATTGCAGGAATGTGCATTGCGGAGCAACTAGCAAATATTTGCAATGTGTCATGTGAGCTCATACATTTCTGCGATGCGACGTCACATCACAATTTTGTGTTTCGGTCCTAAACCTGAATAAGATTTGACAGTTTATCTATTTACATTTAATAAATGTGACATTTTTACAAATTAGTGAATGGAATTGGAATAAATCTATCAATTTTAACTGTGATTATACAGGACTCTGATTACTTACAGCTGGCGATATAGTTAACTTCAATGTATATAGTTTTTCCTAATTAACATAATATACTTACTTCACCTTCCTCTGTGAAAATGGTATCAGCTTTCTTCGGGTCAAATGTTTTCAAAATCATATCTTTCAAATGGTTTTCTACCATAGCCTGTACTTCTGTGACTTTGACACCTGTTAACAGTAAATTTACGTAAAATAATATATTCATGATATTGTCCTAGTATAGGATATTGTTTTAAATCAGTATGCAATTTACCTCCGAGAATGAGCCATTCTGCTAACAGATTTGCCATTTGCGCCACTGCGCTGTAGTTGATGGAGAGCTGCTCTATAACCTGCTCTGGATTTCCTCCGGCTTGAAAGTATCGTTTGAGTTGTCCAAATATTCCGGGCTCCATGATGTAGTCAGGGGTCTTAAATTTTTCCAGGCATTCCTGCAATACTTCTTCGGGATTCTCGATAATATCTTCAGCGCCTTCGTCCTGAACAGGAAGACCATTATAACTATACTGTTGGAAAGTATAGGTCGCTCATATACAAGTAAATATTTACCTCATATTGAGTGTGATTAGAACCTTCCCAAGCACGTTCTTCCTCGTATTGGCTGGGCATTCTTAGTTTCTCCTGAAGCAATGTGTGTTATGTTTCACAGAGCATATAATGAATATATTGTAATTTTTAACAAAACTCCATTAGCGTCTACTTCCTAAAATACTACAGCAACAGCATCGCAGAACACTGTGCTTACAAGAAGAATAGCATACTCACTCAAGCGTGTGTCTATTATATTATATTAAAAATAAAAATAAAACTAAACTTAACTGTCAAACTTAGGGCATCAAAATCCAAAATGTCAGTGTCAAATGACACTTAAGTGTTACCATATATCATTATTATAAAAATATGCCTGGAAAGAAGGCCATTTAGACTAGTGTTGGGTCATGCAATTTACATGAAGAAGTAACGATGGAGCCATTAGAAAAGTATTTTCGCTGTTGTGAAATCATTTTAAATCTCATTTTTCTAAGCAGCTTTTAGCTATACAAGTTTTGTTTTATAAATCACTCTAAATAAAACTTCAAAAGATATTAACTAAACGCAGATCAGAATATAAGCCTTCGAAATTATATTTGAAAAAAACTTTAAATTTTTCGGGTAAGTTGATATTTTTCGGAAAATTACGCAACAGTTATTTTTAATTTTTTTTTTAGTGGGACAGTATGCTGAACAAGGTATGACCTATGTTCAGCAGTGGGACAGTATGGGGAAATCCGAACCTTAGAACAAATCGAACCTGGGATCTCTGCGTGGCAGTCTTTCTTTGGATCAACAAAAAAATAGTAACCGTTCGGCCACGGAGGCAGTAAAAGATACAAGGAAACTGTCTAAGTGACTATTAAGTCTTTTTTGTCAAATCAAATTTTGGCATAGTCAAGCCATTTGGTCAAGCGTGAGTTGCCCATAAAAATATAATAAAATTGGTCGAAATTTCTTTTAGTGCTAATCGACTCAGTTTCATGAAGGGGTCATTTCATTGTATGGGACGAAATCATCAGGGACAGCCGAAATGGGTTAAATTTCATAAAAAGTTTTTTTCGTACTCAAAGGATTAGAATTTATATTCTCAGTGACACTATGTTTTAATGTTATCGTTTTTTTCGTATACAAGATCATTAAACACTCAAACCCAAATTGAGATCAACTCTCGATATTTCGCCTGCACGTCTATACGTGCAGAGTCAGGCATGGGCAATCAAGTTTTGACATTTAAGGTTTCAACTCGACTTTATGCTGCTTGCATTAAAAACGCTTCAAAGTCCAAAGAGTTAAGCTTGATGTGTTCTTGACTTACGTACGGTACGTGTAGTGTTCTTAGACTATTTTTCATTTTCGAAGGTACTGTTGGGTAATTTTCCGAAAAATTTCAAATAGTGGAAACTTTTCTGGAAAAATTCTCGAAAAATGGGAAAAATATAATTTCAAAGGCTTTTATTGTGTTCTACTCTTAGAAATATCTTTTGAGGTTTTATTTAGCGTGAATTGTAAAATAAAGTTGTGTAGATAGAAGTCACTTAAAGAAAAACGAGATTCAAAATGATTTCACAACAGCGAAAAAACCTTTTTAATGGCTAGATTGTTTTCGCTTAGTAACTGCAACTTTTGACAGGTGTCAAAGTCAAATGTGGAAAATTAAAGGAAAAATATTGGAAAAAATGTACGGAAAAATATTTATTTTTCTGAAAAATATGGAGGTATGAAAAAATGGAAATTTTTCCACGACCCAACACTACGTGAACACTACTCTGTTTAGATGTGTCCGAAACGGGCGTCGACGCTTGGTAGCAGTCGAGCGGATTCGCACATCTTCAGCGCAGTGAGGCGTCAGACGCCGACCACAGTGTGATCCTGGCGCACCAATGCGAGCGCACGGCGCCCGACGACGCACGTCGACGTCAAGTTCAAAACGTCATGCCCGACTTTTTACAATAGGACAAATATTTTTCAATAATTATATAGGTACCAACATGACCGCCATTCAGAATTGAATTGACTGTTCTGTATTTCCGCAACCGTCAAACGTGGACGGAGGGTTTCTTGTGCAGTATTAAACCTAGGGTTTGTTTAAAGTTATCTGTGCTTAGGGTTCGAGAAGTGACATTCAGCGCGGCCACCCCTAACTAGGCTTGCCAGATGTCCGGGAAATCCGGAATTGTCCCGGAATTTTTCGTCTTGTCCTGTGTCCAGTAATTAGACTTCATTGTCCCGGATTCCAAACACCTATACTTATACTTTCATAAAAGAAGTCCCTCAGACGCAGCGCTGTAGTCGTGCGAAAGAATGTCGAAATATTGATTGCGAATGACGAAGAGTATTAAAAACTCCCAAAAGATCGTAGAAAACAATATTACGGCCATGTTATAACCGTCAATTAGATAAATGGCCATCTGACATATAGTTCCGGCACATTTTGTTTTAATATATTTATTGCTACATCCCGTCTCCCTTACCTTGGTAAAATTGTCCCGGAAAAGATAAGTCAGTAATCAAATAAGTCGGCAATCCTACCCCTAACCCACCCCCTAACCCACTAAGAAAATGACTACGAGAGTACCGTACAATACCCGACAGGACATTAATATTCAGTTCGAAATATCCAGTCCAGAACCTCAAACAATACCTTTATTCATTTGAAGTCAACACGAAGGTGTACGAGGCGTCTAGTAAATAAGTTTTATGCATATATTATGATAAAACTTCATTGCAAGATGATATATGATGTTGTATTATTCACTTAGGCATAAAATAACAATAGCTCGGGGGACACTCCGGGCTTACGTTGAAATAATTAACCAAATACATTACGAGGCACGATATCGCTTTTGTTCGGTGATGACGAGCGACGGTTGGTTGCCTTTCTTGACGAAATTCTACACTGATACGGACATGATAATCACGTACCTCCATTGTTTCGTCATAATCTAGTATTAGTTTGGTGAACTTCCGTGAATTACTTGTTGGTATTTTATATAGATATTATAGTATATTTCGGTCAAAGGTATAAACGGCAGGTCAATATTGAGCAATATTATTAAAAATAAAAACAGGATTCGTAAAGGCTATCAGTATTTTATTTTTCATGCCTCGATAATGTTACATTAAAGAGTACATAATTAAGAAAAATGGAAACAACATTAAAATTTTAATAAACATAACAAACTTAAATTTTTACAATGATCTATGATTTGGTTTTGCCGTGATTGTTTAATAAATTTGCTTTAAGTAAGGACTTAGGCATAAAAATTTATCAATAAATTCAATGTCGATAATACTTGCAGTTGAAATCGTAATCGTATTTTTCTTATATGAAAAATTTGGCTCATAGTTTCTTAGTAAAGTGATAACGTTCAAAAGTTAAATTTTGTTATTTTGGCAGTCACATTCACTCGTGTATTCACATCGATTTGGTTATGTACTCGACGTGCATTCAATATCAGAACATTGATAAGCATAGAAATCGTTGTTACGATATACCGCAAAATTACCTGACTTAGCAAGCTTGCCTTGTGGAAGAAGTGCATTCTACCTTTAGCTCGACACGAGGTTTTAAGCCTTAAACAAACAAACGCAAGCTTCCTTAAGTTGCAGTGGTTCTCTGGTAATTGAGGTCATAGATGCCATTTCCGTTGTTTAGAAAAGGGAGAATATCTTTTTTTTTATTGGCAAATATTTATCATTATACGTTTAGAACTTGAGAATGTAGCAACAAAGTTAATCGATTAACTAAAAAAATAAAGAGGTAAATAATTTGCCTTTATTTGACTAGGGGTTACATGTTTAAAACATTATTGTTAGGGTGGCTCCATTGCCATCCAGAGCCTTAGTAGCACTTCATCGCTATGACCAGCCAGAATTTATCATCATTAATCACAATTTGCAGCCAAGCTGTATTGAAGAAAATGAGTATTGCTTTGATCGCCTCTGGTTGAAGCAGTGGGCACCCTCAAGAGCAAGAATCGTTGCCCATCAATGGGCGGCAGTGGATAAGTAGATGCACAGTTTCATTCACTGCATGGCAGGATTTAGTCTCGGCTTATTTTTACTTCGTGGTTGGACATGCGTTTATTTAAGCCATAATGTCCCGTAAGCGTTTGAAAAAGGATATAAACAGTTTTTTTGGGTTATATCGTCAAGGAAAACATTGTACAGTAATGTATTCATCGAAGAACTAGTTTTGAAAAAAGACTATATTATCTAATGTGTATCTAATTCTGACAATGGCAATATGATCATTAGAACGAAGAATGTGGCTAACTAATATTTGTTCATGGTAAATTAGGTTACATCTGTGCTTATCATTGATCTGAGGCAATATTCTTTATTTCTTAGCGCGACAATATGAAGTGATATTCACTTATTTTGTGTAGAAAATCAAAATATTGATTTTGATTGTGTTACTACTTATGTGTCGATTTGTGTTATTTAATATAATAACATATACATACATTATTGCATAAATTAAGAAAGGATAGATTACGTATTCGATCTTCCATATGAGCTATATGGACTAAATAAACTTCACTAATTAGTAATTAACTTGGAAATAGCACAATCTATTTCTTACTTATAAAAATTGGTCCAAAATTCGCAAAAAAATAATCGAGACAGAAAGCTATAGTAACAAACCTATTGGGGCATGATTAGATGCAAAAAACTGGGCAGTTATCGAGTGCTTTTGGCATTACTCCCAGAATAGGTACATAACGAATTGAATTTTCGCACTATGAATATATCTGTTATTGCAACGATGCTTGTAATATACTTATATTACACCTGTTGACTTGGTAACTTGTAACAACAAGCAAGCACGTACGTATAACGTACCAACTTGTATTTTATTTTGCAACTAAATGCATGGACTTGATAATTTTATTTTTAATACTACAGACCCTATCAATACTTATCTGTTAGAAAGGCGTTTCGAAAATCGTGCTACATTACATTTTCGCAAAATTAAAGTTATTGTTCGTTCGAGTAAAAATTGTTCAAATTACTCGTAGCATTTTGGTGTTCTATTCAATTGACATCAGTCGTTCTAGTTCACACTCTTAGGTATAGTGTATGCAATGAATAATATAAGGTACAATTAATTGTTAGGCAATAGTAGGTCCCATCGACTGTACCGTTCTAGGTTCATTTATTTTATTTAAGCTATCACGAAACTCAAAAGTTATTCTAAGTATATTTTTGTAGTTGTTATTCTAACGTGGTAGCAGAGATGCCATGAAAATTGTGGAAATATACATATATTTTCTTTGCTATAAGTAGATTATTTAAATATCTTATAATTATAGTCTGAAGGTCAGGCAGATTTTTACCCTGCTTTTTTATTAAGAAATGTGTCCAAAACGTTTTAAAATTGGTTCAAGAATAGTATTTTCCTAATTAGGTAATGTAGGTGGAAGTTGAGTTTCCTAGTATTATATAGAATGTTGTACTAGTTTCAGCAGGCTAATTATACGTTTATCTATATTAATACATACATTCAAAATTAGTGTGTATGCCTCACTGTTTGAATTCGAAAGATAATTGGTATTGTTACAGAAGGTCTATCACAGTTTCTTTGTTTTGATTGTCTTCAGGTTCCCTTAGTTAAATTAAGTGTAGAATCCTTAGGTTTCCAAATCAAACTTGGTAAATCACTAACTTACAACTCCATAATCAAAATAATATGCCTTAGGCATATAAAATTATAGTGGAATAATTCGATTTCTGTTGTATTCGTTCGATGCTAATCATTCCAATAATTACATAACTTGACTTACAATAAAATATGTACAACTTATAATTTTATAAATTAGAAGCGTCTATCTAAAAGTATTGCGTTTTCAACTCTTCTTTAAAAGCAATACAAAATAAAATTTAAGCGTATTAATTACAATAATAATTTACTAGTTTCAACTGTGGCTAGTTTCACGATACACATACTTGAGTCTTTAGTCTTTATTTGTAACGAGTGGAATCGACGACACTTGTTTACCACAGTATTTACCTACTCGTTGTTGTATATTTTATTGATTGGAGTTGCACGAGTATGTACTTCAATTATTTATGTATTCCATCGCGCTAGACTAATGGTACTTATGATCTGATTTTTACATTTTAAGCTTCTATCTAAAATGAAATGTGAAGGTGTGGACAATGCTCTTATCGCATAATAGTTTATTAAATTGTGCGAATGGGACGAAGGCGTTCGCCGAGTTAAATGGTTCCAATGGTGGTGTAATTGTCTTTCGTTCACTTTTCGTGATCGGAACCTTTAAATCACTAGCAGTAGATGTGAAGGAAGCAAAGGCGAACGGCGGAATGTCCAGGAAATAGAAGAACCAGCACTCAAACATCGGGCCGCAGTAGGTGCAAGTCGACGGCGACATCGCGGCGAGGGTTGCGCACGATTCTTGGCTGGGCGGGGTGTGCAGCGTCGCCCAACAGCGCCGCGTCTTCCGCCAGCGAGTCGCCGGAACCGTAGCCGCGTTCTTCGCCGCACTCCGCCTCGCCCTCGCACCACGAGGCGCTCCCCGAGCTACCAGACCGCGACCCACCCGCTTCCGCTTCCGTCTCTACCTCCACTGAACAACTCGCGCAAACCTCTGAAAAATTTATATGACCATTAAACTTTGTTATCTATCACAAACTGTCAGATTGGGAGTATTAAAAAATACATTAACAATCATGTTTTCATATTTTTATATGTGCGACATTTTGGTTTTTCTCTTGACTTTGAATATTATTGTGTTGACATACAATACGGCGTAACACCATTACCGCGACTGCGCTTCAATAATTTGTGTCGATAAAATCTCGCCCTATCGACTGGACATTAGGTTCATTCAATCGATGGTTGTGGGGCGTAAATATCATTGAGGACAAACAGGCATTCTTAACAACGCCAATGTCACCAATACTTCTTCATTTGCAATTAAAGCATGTAGAGCATAAAATCGACGTGTAGTCACACATAATAAATTTAGAATTGTTTTATAAGGCCATAAGTAATCTGTAAACACGTAATTAAAATATTATGTTAGTTTGGCGAATAACAATGTCACGTATTTTAAAAATATTAGTAGATAGAAAGTTTGGTCTGTTTAAATTACAATACTAAGTTACAGAATGTCTACGTCACAAACATGCGAAACTGGAGGAAATGTTGCCGATGAGAAAAAGGGTAAAACAAAGAAAACCATTGCATAGTAACGAGGGATCCCTGCGGACCAACTACCCGATACTGACTGTAAAATTTTATATTCTCTCAAACTTATAGTATTACTCGTAATTCACAAACTTGTTCCTTTCAGCGGTAACATTGTTTTATTTTAGAGATGAACATTTCTTTTCAATGGTATTTCCGATGCTTTGATCGCTAGGAATGTAATAAATATTAATTGTACATCGAAGAGGAAAAATGTAGCAAAACAAATAAATGTTTATAATGAACGCAGGAAAATAAAGACCAAAAGAAGATTTGAAAGAAGTAGATGTAAATGCAGTAAGGTAGTTCAAGATGCAACACCATCGTTAGGTACATTCAGGGTCGGGAGTGGGGCAAGGGGGCAGGGAGACACTATTATACACATTCCACACATCGAAACGGGAGGATTGGGACTCACGCAGCCGGTGGTGGCCGATTAGAATGGGGCTGTCCGAGGTTGCCGGTCAGAGAGAAGTCGACGATGAATAGTCTTCATAAGATGCTGCAATTTTGTAATATTCGCATATTTATACCTATGGCAATGACGTGCAATTGGTTAAAATAGCAGCTGCAGGAAATAAAGGTCATGACACGTTATTTAATTGTTATGTAGCAATTTGTGAATTTGCGTTAAAGTTTTGATGAAAAGCGGTCAGTTAAAAGGTATTTATTGATTTGTAGTGTTAATTATTAGTACATAGTCGTAGATAAGTAGATACAATACTTAAATGTGGTCTACATATTCCTATTCAGGGTCATGATGTGATTGATGGTCAATGTCTATGGTTATAAAGGGATAATCACCTGAGCTGTCCGTCACTAGTCGAGGCGGCGTGTCCTCGCGGTCAGTCGGTACTACAATTACTACTTCATCGTCTCGAGGTGACTCACCGTTTCGACTTGTTGACGTTCTGTAATTAACATCAGTCGTAAACATCACGTATAGTCAACTAAACTAAAAATGGTCACTTAAATTTTTTCATGATTGTTTTAAAATAATAATTCTATTTGTATGAAACTTCGTGGATTTTAGCATATTTATATTTCTATATTAATTTTGGTAAAAACCTTTACTTTAATGAATATAATAAAAGCTTACGATTATCAGTGACCTTTAAGCGAACCATTCATACATTATTAATATGGCAATATATCAAGAGGAGGAGTGACAGTTGAATGAATCTTACTTGACTATCACTTTTTTGCGCATAAATCGTGCCCCTAGATCTGAGTAGCCCCTATTCATGGGTCGCTTGTGTGGCATCGGCAGCGCCGACGAGGGCGTCGGCTGCTCGTAGGACCGTGATACCGGCGAGTTGGGCTCCGAACACTGCTTCTCCACAAGCGCCGTCCGTGCGCGTAGTGCCAGCGTACCGTCCCCGGATGTACCACTTCCTCCACCCCCATTGGCCCCACTACCTATTTTTCTTTGAACTCTTCTATCTTCTTCATACAACTCTAATAAATGATCCAACTTACTTTCTATATCATCTACCTGAAAACCACATGACACGAGTAAGAAATGTTATCTATGGACCAATCTTGAATTGAGTTGCTTTACAATTATATATATATAATAATTTATTCATATAGGTAAGCGAATGAGTTCATTATTGACTTACTTGTCTTTCAATTTTAACTACTCTGGAAGCGAGGCTGATTTTTGATGCATAGACGTCTTTAGCTTTCGATCCTTGTTTTCCAAGTATTTGGTCTAACCTGTTGATTTAATTTATTGTTTAATGACGGATTCATAAGCAAATTGTAAATGGAATTGAACTAAACACCGATGTAACATCATGTAAGTAAACAGTCCTAAAACACTGCACATGATTCATAAAATAAACTGTTTCTGTTGTACAACTTAATAGTTATATATAGTCAGAATGTATTGAGGCGATCTAACTGTAGGTATAATTACAAATAAAATCAATTTACTCACGAATTCAACCGTCAGCAAATAGTAGAAGGGAAGGAATACCTTAAACGCTTGGATGGTATTAATTTCCTTTGTTAACACCAACAGTCCTTCAATGGGGGCAAACCGATAATTCTCGGTTCGTCGTGCGGTATTCTCTAATTAAGAACTTCCGCTGAACAATCTTACATTAGAGGCTTTTCAAGGTTACTAAAATATATTTTAAAGAAAGACTGCTAAAATATATTGCAGTAAAAAATTATCTTCTACTGCAATTGCACATGCTCTGAATTCTGACTCATTTTGCTATCGGTAAGTAATGTAGCAAAACTTACGCAACTAATACTACCTGCTTACTTTAATGCATATATCTTAAAACATGCACTCAAGTATGTAACAAAAATATGACAACAGATATAGATAGCTTAAGGCGTGTATTGCTGCGGGAACAAATATATCGTGCAACATTCTGGCGCTTAACTAGAAATAGAAAGACAATTATGTGCGTAAGCGGTGGGATGATAGATGATCCTAAAGTTTAACGAGCCTTACCCGGGGCGAAACAAATGACGAAAAACACCATGGACAAAACAAAAATGCTAAGTGAGTAAGTGACAATACGATTAATAAGCACAATCACGTTTAACCGAAATTGTGTTGGTAGTATAACCCTACAAACAACAGATTTGTTATTGTAACTGCCTATTTGGCACTCTGCCTAAAATCCCGCCTATAAAACATTTACTATCAGTTTTCTAAGTAGGTATCTACCTAGATGTGTCCTATCTTAAAATTTGTCAATATCCATAAGTACCTAATATTTCATTAGAATTGCATATTTTTTAACGCCTATAAATTATAAATATGTAAGTAGCTATCGAAAAACATACGATAATGAAACTATTTCCTTTAACTTAATTGGGGTTTCTCTCAAGAATCAACTCTTATTATCGGTACAAAAGCAATAAGTAAGGAAACCTGAAGTTGTTTGACTTGGCTACGTTCACCTTCCATGAAAGAAAATACTTAACGCCACAAAGTGTCGATAATCATGTGATATTGGATTTCTTTGACACCTGTTGATGACACTTAACGCAGTCTAAGTAACAATAGCTACGACTGACAGGTAGTATTACATTACTAGTGAAGTATGGAAGATGGTATGGTCAGACCAGACGCACGCAGAGGAGGCTGGCTGAGGTATGAGGCGAATGAAGCAGGCGAGTCGGCGTCACGCCATAGTGCAATGACTCCCCAACTCCTCACCTGTATTGCAGGTTCTTGGTTCGGTTTAGCAGGTCAGCGTGCCCCGAGGAGTACTGCTCTATCACGTCTTTCACGTCGTACGGTTTCAACGCTTCTCTAAATCTCTTGCGTGCGACAAAATACTTGAGCTACACGGACAAAAACATATCCAATGGCCAATTTGCAATAACACAAGGCATGTTGGTATAAATAAATGCAATATATATAGACGACCATTGATTTTTAAATGCGTATATAAATGGAGGATAGTTATATGCCAATCACGAAGGTTCGTGTTTGTGAATACGGTATCTCTGAGCTATGTATTTCGTTAGCTAATTTCGTGCCAAAGTCCTGGTACATTCGCTACATTCGCAAGCTATTACAGTTGCCGTCGAGAACACGCTCGTCATTGACAAAGAGGGTTCTGTAATCTCTAATATTTAAGTCACTATTAAGGCTCTCTGAGAAGCGGCCACGCATATAGTGAGTATTATGTAACGGATCACAAATTTAGCACCTGACGACAAATGAAGTAGCTGCTAGCTTATATGAGAGTTAGTAAAGAACTCTTGTCTTAGTAACAGCGATTATATACTGAAAATTCCAATTCAAAAACTTTATAATAAGTTTTGTGTAAAGCGTACGGTTTTGTTACAAATATTTGCTTACAAAGGAAACTTTCAGTGCTATAATCGTATATGAAATGTAAATATGATGAGCGTTGCACACAAGAGCTACAAGAGTAGACATTTGATTTGATGCCAAGTTGACTACATAAATCACATTGCAAAACAGTAGGACAATCCAGATGGAGCAAGATATAGAGCAAGTAAGAAATAAGGTGCAATAATGTCGCCGGCGAGTTGAGTACCTAGTTTGAACATTTTTCACTCGTCCCAGAAGGTCCACGTGGCCCGCGGAATATTGTTCTATAACGTCCTTTACGTCGTACGGCTTAAGAGCTTCTTTAAATTTACGACGTGCCACAAAATACTTCATCTGTCAGAATTTCACAATATTAAATGTTTAATGTGCAGCAGAAAATTATTACATTTGTAAGAGCAAAATCTTGTACAATTGTTTAATTCATTATAGAAGACTATAAAATGGAACTTAAAGCATTTTTAATTTTCGAAGAGGAAATACTCTCGAACTTTTCTTTTTCTTTGTTCACTTCCATGTGTGCAAGTTTTGCGCAACAATTACTAGCGCGTAGCAGTTGCTACGGCGTAGCACATGTTCTACCACGAACAAAAGTTGGAGGAAGGAAAATATCCAGTATCGGAGTTAGAAAGTGGTTGTGGTTGTGTAAACAAGGCCTCCAATAACAAAAGGACGCGCAGGACAAGTTAGCATTGGAGTGGAGCAATGCAAACAGGTTCAATAATTCAGCGCTGCTCCCGATTACTAAGTTTCTTCTTTACCCTGATCAATTATGTAACGGAGGGGAGGTGGATTTTATTAACTTTTTGTTCCATTGTTACATATACCTCTATGAGCACCTACCTATCCCACTCCTTTAATAGTTTAGATTTCTACTGCAAAACGTGATGAAGAGATAAATCGAAGTTCGGCTAATAATATTTCCCTATTCTAGAAGATGCTAACAAATTACAAAATCTACGTGTAACGTTTATTCTAAGCCATTGTCATATATAATGATATTAAATTATAGATCGCCAATGAATAATTAATTTAAATTGTTGATTCGTGAAACATATACGTAGTTCCAAAGTTTTTTGTGAAAAAAAATTTAATATAAAAAAGCTAGTAGTGTTTAAAATTTATGATTGGTTTTATTGCGTTCCTTCTAGTTATATTAATACTATATAATACCTACAATTTTAACGAATCTAATATTTATGAGTAGGATATACACACTTATAATTTATAGTACTTTTTGAAAAATTTGCTACTTTAATTCGAATTTAATGAATTCTCATAAACTTTAGTCACTTGCTACGTCTTACGAAACTACGCTAGTAGTAGTTGCAAAGTACCTATTCTACTTAATTGTGTCATGCTTTATCGAAGAATATATTTTAATATTACAATTTTTAGTAAAACAACTATGAAAACTGAGTTGATTTTATTGCAGAATGTTTGTAATCATTACTTACACGGTCTCTTGTGGACTCTTAGAATCTATAAGTTTAGAGTTTAGAATCTGTGTAGGTTATATATGTTTTTTCATATAGAACTCTTACAGTTGATATTTAAAAAAACAATATTAACGAAAGTTAAAAAATATTATTAGAAAAATTTGAACATTTTACACAAAAATTACGTTTCAAACTGTTTGATGTTTATTTTTACTTATTTATCTAAATTAATTTCATTATGAGCGATGAGCTAACGAACTGTAAGATTGTAACAACTTGTTTTCGGAAGAGATAGTAGTCGTGCAAAGTTAACACTAACAGAATTTGTAAATATATATTTTCAATAATTTGTCGCAGTTGTTATATCAATGTTGCTACTCTCATTTTTATACCATAATACTCATGAATCATACAACTATATTCCGGTAACGAAGAATTGGCAAATTTATTCCTTGTCTAGATTTAGAAATATAAGTGCCAAAATTATTAAGTTCTCTGTGTAGTCCTGTTAATACTAATATTGTATAATTTGTCGAATAAAGTCTTGTCGCCAAGATCAAAGGTTTCACATCTCATCACATATTTGCCGCTTGGAAAATATCGTGAATTTGTCAAATAAGTTAAGAATTATGTGCTTGTAATGTATCTTGGTTGACTTCGATATAATATTCAATTAAACAGAACTTACAAGTTAGGTTTTAATTATGTACACCTTGTACCTACATCTGCCCAAGTAATTTAAGTACACACTGAGTGAGTGAGTAATTAGAGAATAACATACTTGGGCTGTATGGCTATGAATGTATTAAGCTTAAGTTATTGCTTCATATACTTTAAATTGGACTTCTAAATTTTATAAATTATTCCATCGCAAATTTACTGTTTTTACTCAACTAAAGTTATAATTTATAACGATACTTATATAGGTTTATTATAAATGGCGTATTGCTAGATAGGTATTTTTGTGTAATACTTTTGAGGGTGAATTTCGTTGTATTTAATTTAATTACATACCTTTCTTATAAATCGAATGGCAGCTTTGTGTCGTGGCGTGAGCGTCACACAGCGCGGCTCCTCGTCCTCATCTGCACAAAAAAGCAATCTTCAGTAATTATAGGTCAAAGGTCGATAAGTCGCCTGTACCACGTGACCGTGTTACATAACATTATGGTGTTCGGCTATGCGGTCTCTAGCAAACTGTTTTGAGTTCCCGTTATTGCAACTTCATTTGCGTGTGTTGCTTGCCAAAACTCTAGACAAATTTTATACAAATATAGTTCCATAGATTGCCTAGATCGGTATTTAATGAAAATCTTACTAGTTTAAATATAAAAATTCAATAAAGAAACGGGGTTTGCCATTCACATGTTTTGCCCGTCATTTGTTATCTACATTTATATGATTGTTTAATCAAATATTGACACCGGGACAAAATAACTACACAAATATTCGATGATGACATCTGTTTGTTCCAACAAATTATTTACTCTCTGTAATAAATAATAATTACTAACAGATTTCATTCGATCCATCATTGAGCCCGTAAAAAGAGCGAACTTAATTGAATTTATTTGAGTTGCAAAGAATCGTTCAGGATTTCAATGAGAAGTTGTGTTAGGGAAAAATTGAGATTTTTCCTTGTAAAAGAAAGGGTAAGACCACCACCCGGGTTCCTATAAGTAGATGCTCATGAGAACCCTTGTTCCAAATTGAAATCCGCGAACGGGTATACTTTGATTTTCAAGAGTATTGCGTGGAAAGGTCTGGTTTGTGGATTTCAATTGGATTACTGTATCGCTGATGCCAATTAAATTCACTTTCACACACTTGAATTTGGAAGGTCGCCCGTGCCTACATTTCGTTTAATTTCAAGCCTTCAGCTGTCATAAAAGCAAAGCCAGTCCTTCCTATTTGCAAAAGCGTAATAATAAATTTCATTTGCGACTCATTTGTTTTTATTTGAAGGGTGTTTAATGTGAATTGCTTTCATGTGGTCGCTTACATAAAGGAAAATAAATATTTACTTGATAAGGTTAGGTAACAGCCGAACATACATGCTGTGTATATAATAAAAAGAGGGTTGTGGGAATGGATGATAGGTATTTAGCAGACCGGATATCAGCGACCTTAGAAAGTGGCACGGTGTCTGCAGAGGGCGTTTTTCGAAGAGCGTCGTTTCCGCAGCAATTTGCGACACGTTATCCCATATCACGCAAATTTATTAGATAATAATCCCGATTCTAAGGATTTCTTTGCTACAAACGTTCCTTTGTAGCTTACTAATTGGTACCTGTGAATTCGTCTGCGTAGAACAAGTACTGCGAGTAGCCTATTGTACCGTATTAATTTTTATAGTTTCATTATTCTTCATACAAACTATTATCCCCTATTTCACCCCTTTAAGATTTATTTATGTTGCAAAAAGTAGCCTATGTCTTTCTCATAAGTTCCATCTATCTATTCGCTATACCCAAAATTCATCAAATTTGGTACAGTACTTTAGACGTGAAAATGTAACAGACAAGAGTTACTTTTGCATTTATAATATTAGGTTGGATTTACATGGTTAGATTAATAGAAAGTGTATGTTAAAAAAAATATTAAATTTTATTTCCCGGTATTGGAATCGTTTCATACTGCTCGATTATTAGTCGGCAATGAATCCATATGTCGGAGTTCAAACCTTTTAAATTTATTAGATAAACGATTTACTAGGCTACCTACGAATCATTTTAACTAGTCTCGATCATGGTTTGTTTACAAATGTCACGTCAGTTTGACAGCTCAAACTGGGTATGGTCGGAGAGAGGGGGCTCTTTGTGTAAGTTGCTTGGACAGTGAAGACGTACGACGTCTTCGACACCTCGCTCTCTCTGAACTTTCTGCGTGACGTTTAAATCCGCTCTAACCTGCTTCATCTCTTGTATTTTCGAACTAATTAGTGTGAAAAATGCATAAAACAACTAATTGCAATCAGTTGACGTTACTATTTCACCGCCGGCTGTACGATTTGATAACGTAGAGTAGAGTACAGAAAAATCCGATTATCAAGTAATTCCTGACTAAATGTGCGTTGAGGGTGTTTCCTTCGACGTCTTCCTTTCCAGCGTTAATGGCCTTAACTCCGACACATATATAATGACCTCGGTTGCCTAACGCTTAGCACTCAATAAATAGGTTCCCACTTTGCTTCCCGGTATCACCAATCCGGGAAAAGACTTTTCTAAAGTGGTTTTGCTCTGGGTATCGCTCCGAAATTGATATCGTCGGCCTGGTTTTCTATAGCACAGGGAATTTCATAATATGAGACCATTTTTTATAAAGATATTAGTACGTAAATTCTTTATAACATATTTAAATAGTTCAAATAATTGACACCAGTGCGTAGTAATAACAATTAAGAACAAAATTTCAGTGCAATATTAGGTGACAAACAATCGTTATTATTTTGCTCACGTCCCCCAAGTATCGGCTACTCCATAATGGGTAGACGTTATTTTCGCAGTTACTTGTACGGTTGCAATTAAAGTAAATCAACATTTTACATAGTTATTTTCAAGGTCTACATATTAAGCGCTAATTATATTACCACAGTCTTTATTTATTCAAACATAGTCGGAGGTTACTAGAATCAGGCTTTTATGTTATTTTTAGCATGGATTTTATGAATTTCGTTTTGTTTTGATTTTATCAGCAGACATCGGTATTGTCAGAATATATTGACCTCAATTCCAAGCTAAATACCTACACATGGAGTGGGCAATACCTCTGATATATTAGGGCATCGACTGTACTCTAATGTCCTTGCCATTATAAACATCAGTGATTATAATAATTAATTAATTGTATCTGATATTTAAAAACGTGCAACAAGACGTGTTTAAGGTTACATTTTACAGCAAGTTTTACGCCTGTTTACCAAAAGTTCGAGAATTAGATTATGAAGTTAGCAATATAAATTAATCACCTCTAATATCCATTGCTTAATCCTTTAGTATGTAGGGCTGGAGCTGCGATTCCAAAGTCCGAATCATTCGATTGGTTGACTTCAGTAAATCATCTTTAAGAAACCAGAAGAACAAAGTAACAACGGTAACGAATAAATTCAGTGAAATTCTTCTCAAAGAAATAACTACTAGTGAAGAGCTCACTCAATTATCAAGGCGACCATCGCTATTATAACACTATTCAATTCATTGAAATCCACCATCAACACACATAATATTATAGTTATATAGCTATTTTGTGTCGTTTTGATTTTTTGTGTTTTATTTTTACTCATTTCGGAATTTCATACGGAGGTATTATCCATTCTATGTGTTTTACCGGATTTTAGGTAAATATACTTTGCCTATTGCGATCTTTTGTTATAAGAGACACTTGAGTTTTAGAAACTTTTTACTTTTGTCGGTGCTCTAAAGAAATTTCCCGTGGCATTGATTTTCTGTAATTCAGTGTGGCCGTTCAAACCACATGTCATCTGATTTTCTTTCGGCGGATGCGATCAGCCTGCACGGCTAATAGTTTGTATTGGATGCATGGTAGTTCCTCCTTATTGTACGTTCTAACTGTACTCAATACTAAATGTTTATAAAAGTACACAGGTACGTTAGTCATTCCATCGTTCTGATGATGATGTATAAGACGATTTATTCAATTCTCTTTTGAATTGTATCTTCGACTATATAGTGAATGGCTTCTAACTCTCGAATACGATTCGATAAAATCTTTACACTTTTTCATAGCCATTCACGGAGAAAGGAGATGGAAATGCCTTCACAAAACTCTACCACAGTTATGATAGATGACTAACAATAAATGGACTGCCCTACATTCAAAGTTGCCAAAGAAAACGTTTGTTTATTTTATTGTCAAACAAATGGTCTATTTGAGTCACGATTTTTCATTGAAATATACCGTTCCTTGGTAGTGAGTAAACAATTTAAAGAAAATAATGTTATCGATTTGCTGTCGCTTCACTATCATGGCATCGTGTGATTACAGGGTTTACATGGTCAAAAAGCTTCACAAATTGTGTACTGTATATTTTTCTTGAATTTCAGCAACACGCACACGCACACGCACACGCACACGTACACAGAGAGAGAGACTGACTAGGAACGATTTTAGCCCGTTTACAATTGATTTATATCCTGTTATATATGTTGTGATCTCAAATCTAATATGTATCATTTCATTTTCCTTTTTATATGAGAACAAAATGCTAAAGTCTCTATTTCTTTCATTTTTTCGCATTGATGATATACTCGAATGCTTTGAACATTCTGTTACAATTTTTAGTTTCATCCATGACTGGCGTATCGATAAGTTCCGATTCGTATCTATCCTTCAGTATCTTTCTCTGACTTTTATCGCGCTCTTACCACGGTCATGTATCTCGTGAGTCATGTCAACATCCTGAACAGCCACAGTTATTGATGGAGTCAGTATGATTTTCTCGAAGTAAACATTTTATTTTTTGTCCTTAACAAAACGAAACTATAATTTTCTTTTTATTTTTCTTTGCTTATCTATTTAATTCATATCTATGTACTTATTAGTTTTGTATTCTCAGCCTATCAGTTTTTATGGCCCAAGAAGGCCGTAGACAAGATTTTATTCCCTTATCCGGAACGTAAATAACAAGGGATACGTTTTATAAAAGAAGGGTTACGTATTTATTTTGTTCACGGTCATTTTTTACAATCCACACACTGTTTTTCCAAGCGTAGGCACACATAAGCGATGTTTTACAATGTCCATGCTGGAGAGAGGCTATCTCATGCTTTATACATAAAATGCGGCTTGCATCAGTGTCTACATGTCACACGTCTGTCTGATGGCTGATTATGTCGCCGACTTGAAGCGCATTTATAAGATTAGCCGCATATACACAAGTATAACGAAACGTACATATTCTACACTAAATAATCACTTCTAGTGTTACCGCATAACTTACATTGATGCTATTGATTATTTCGCTATGGTCTATTTAAATATCAGATGCAGCCAATTTTCATTATGAGTGAGACGTGTTGATTAAAACTTTTACACAGTTAGTGTATATTTTGTTTACAACGTTTCGCTTTTGTAATACGCTATTGATAAGATTATATGAACAAGGCAAATATAGGCTTCAATAATAAATTTATCAGCCGCTAACACGATAATCACTAAAATTAATGTCCCCATTTGGGGGAATTTTACCAAATGAGACAATCACGTATCACATACACATATACCCGACATACATATGTGACTATTGTTAAAGAATTAGCTACGGGAAGCGACATTACGAGCAAGACGCACAGGTTTATCTAAAAACGGAAATATTAGCTAAGTATTTGCATAATTGCTGCAAGTCGGCGTGAGCCTTCTTACCATCGGAGTTTTTCTTGGAGAGCGCCGTCTCGGCCACCGAGTCCTCGCTGTGCGAAGGGTTGATGGGCCTGGTGCGCCCGGTGCGCCCGTTCCTCGCGCCTGCCAACCCACACATACGCTCACTTCAACACTGCACTTTCTCGTTGTTGCCTCTAACCACCACCCATCCTAATCTGGTGCCCTTTCCCCATCTACACCTTTACGTTTCACCTGACAACGCAACGAACGATTAAACACGTGAGAAATAAGTAGTTGTGACAGCGACATGGGTTCGTATTTACAGTTAATGCCCTTCATATGTATGAAAATTGCGAGCAAAAAAGTAAAAAGTAAAGGCTCAGTCCCAATCAGAAACACCGCTACATCCGCCTGTCTGCCTGCCTGCTCTAAGCGTACACTGAGCTTGTGATTTCTTTGATTGCCCTAAGTTGCCATTCCAATTTGCTACATAGGACTAGGTACCTATTACGCAAAGATTTACGCATGAATAAATAACGATGCGAAACGTTTTTCGCAAATTATCCGACTAAATTGTTTGTATACGTGTGGCGCACTATACGTTTCCGGAATAAATAAGAAAAAAATACTATTTGTTTCTAAAAATATTCTCCTTTAGCGTTAATGCACTTTTTCATACGAATGAACCAATGTTGAAAACATTTATGCCATTCCTCCGTGACAATCTCTGAAACATATTTTTCATACTCTTCGACAGCCTCTTCAGGTTATGAAAATCGTTGACCGCGTATCTGGTTCTTAATTTTTGAAAATAAATTATAGTCACAGGGTGCCAGGTTGGGACTGTACCCGGGATGGCTCATAAGGTCAACGTTGTGCACCTTCAAAAATTCATTTGTCTGTCTGGCCGTGTGACAACTGGCATTATCGTGGTGCAAGATGATACGGCGTTTACGGTTATTTTTACGAAGTTTGTCAATAACTTCTGGCAAACAAATGGTCGTGTATCAATCACTATTCACGGAACCACGATTCTCCAAACCAACAGTGGCCACGTGTCCAGTTTTGTTAAATAAAGAAGCAATCATCCTCTTAGAGGCACTTTGCACGCGCGCCACTTTGGTTGGTTTCGGTTCATCTCGAAAGACCTATACGCTCGATTGCTGCTTTGTCTTGGGATCGTAACTATAAACCCATGTTTCGTCACCTGTTACTATGTCCTACACCAAATTTGACGCCCCTTCGTTGAATCTAGTAAGCATGGCATTGCACCAAGTGACGCGATCGATTTTTTGAGCCTCAGTTAAATTGTGTGGGATCCACCGAGAGCACAGCTTTTTCACACCCAAATGTAAACGTTAAGTGATGCCTATGCCTAAAGGTACCCAAATCTCATGGTATGTCATATGCCTGTCTGTTTTGATCATACGGCGCACAGCATCGATGTTTTTGTTGTTCACAGCAGTGGACGGGCGACCATCACGAAATTTGTCACTGAGATTCACACGACCGCGTTTGAATTCTGCAAACCAGCTATCGTCGTCTTGCATGGTGCTTCATCACCAAAGCAGTTTGAAACCGATCGAAGCTCCGCTGGGCTGTTAAATTACACTCAAAGTCGTAGAAAATCATACTACGAAAATTTTCGCGAGCTTAATCCATGGTGATGTAGACCAACCAATTTCTAAAATGACGCCACAATATAAAAACAAGTGACAGTCAGATGAAACAAACTGTATGCTACAGCCAAAGAGTTCCATTTTCAAAGGTTCTAATTCTTTTTAAATATTGTTTATGTAAGTGGCCAGTTCCGGAAACTTATAGTGCGCCCTATGTAAATATTTTGGAGAATTAATAAATAGGTAGTTAAGCCTTCTAAATTATATTTGCCGTGGAATAAGTCCCATAGCTTATGCTAAGTAGGATTTTTCTTTCGTTTCGTTTAGGATCACAGGGTTCGAATAATCTCAGACAGCGAGTTTAGTTTCGCTGACGGAATAACCACAAATTGCACCCATCTTTTCATATTAACCTTGCTGCGTCCTCAGGTAGACGTGACGTGTCACTTATGCTATTAAAATTTAAATTCCATGGACGTTGTGCAGCGTTCTAAAAAGAAAATGGTTTCTTGGAAATATTTTTCTTTGAACAGTTTCAAAACTCGGGTACACAATTTTAAAGACAATTATTTTAATTAATTTTTTTTGTAATTTGAACTTTTGATGAGCTGTTAACTATTTTTAATTGCGTAGCATTTTTTCATTACACGTAATAATTGCATTACATTAAGTGAAATATTACCGAAACTTACACCGCGTTTGCTATAGGCATAGAGTTGCAACAAATATTATGCTCTGGTATAATGAATATAAATTTAGAATACTTTACAATTATTTTTTGGTGTCTTTATTTCTTCATGATAAAAATAAATGTATACATAAAACATATTTTTAAATTAACCATATTGATCCAAAAAAAAACACCGCCAGATTTAAAAAAACCGATATTTCTCCAAATTAATTTAATATCACGGTTTGTGCTGCACTGAAGGAACACCTAAATAATGAGGTCAATGCAGCAGTTGCCATTTAATGTCTGAGTAAACTATCGATCGGTTTGTTATCTCTTTCTTGCTTATGTGCAAACGCTTTTCAAGAACGTTGCTTTCACGATCCGTCCTATACAATTTAATAAGCTCGTTATTATTTTACAGTAGACGTGACGAAAATTAGTAATTTTGAAACTATAAAAAAAGTAAGTTTACTACGAATCCAGATTATTTTTACACATTTTTTAGATAAGATAAGTACCTATGTAAAGTAATCAGTACAACATAGCAGATTGTCACACCATTTATCAATGATTTTTGTTCCAAAAGTTTTCTTTGTCTGAAAATACAAGAAGACACAAATAAAGCGCGCTTTTAGGGATAGTTGAGAATCACACGGAAGTAGCAACTGGAGGACAAAAGAGCCGAATTGACTTTATTTTTATGACAGCCGAAGTTGTTTACCAAAGGCATTTATTTCTTGTTTTTGTGGGTCATCGAAGAGTCCTTGTACTATATACTCGTTAAAGTAATAAGAATACGTGCTCTACAATAAACAAGTCACGTTAGCCTTACAATTGCATCGTAGAAAGAAAAGCTTACACGAGTATGATCGCTCGAACAAAATAATGTTTAGGTCCATAACTTTATAGTCGTCAATTTTACTTTTATTATTATTTTTTACGATATGTTATTTTCTCAAAATTGCACACTGTTTTATGAACTCTCTAAAGATTCAACCGTCTAAATGGTTATGAAGTACGACCTCATGGAAAAATTTTTCAGTCAAGAATTATGAAAATTCCTACCCTATCTATCTTCAAGACAGTTTTGACGTAGATCGCGATGAGGCGATGAATTACGCTATTTTATGACAGTACATTATTCATATTCCAGCTTTTCCTTGAAACAGCAATTCATGTTTTCATTCGAACTAATTAGCCCGTGAGATATAATTATGCGGACGTCATGTACACACCAATTTCGTTTTGTTAATAATTACAATGGTACATTAAATTCCGAATCAGTGTTTCTAAAATGATTAGTGTGTAATTGCTTTTCACATTGTTGTCGGTTGCCAAATGTGTCGCTTGTCATATGAGACAATGGGTAAGAATACCAGGCTTCATTACTAGTAGGCTGTTCAATTATTAGGGGGAGACAAAGCGAAGACAGGCGGACACCGACATTTCATATACAGAGAGTAGGAATTCACAAGTGTACTAGGCTGTAGGTAAACTATCTCTGCATTTGATTTGTTATATAAACATGTAAGAAATATACGTATAACTCATATCGTACAAATTTTGGTAGCTATCTGGCATGCATAATAAAATAATGCAAAGCAGTGTAAGTTAGTTAGTAGTTTCTGAGGTCGAAACAGGATAAAAGCTTTATCGAAGCCATTCCAGTAACAGGTTATTCTACAACGGCCTGCAAAACTCTGGAAACTCATTGTGTGAATCGTTTTTTTCTATGATGCTATATGAACGCAACCCTTGCACTCCTAATCGATACAGTCAATATTTCCTTGTTTCTACCGTAGCATTCGAAAAACGCATAAGCGGATCATAACTTTAGAAGCCATTTTATCACTCCAAGGTCTGTATACCTTCAGATTGCGGTCTCTTTTTGAAGCGGTATTGTATCTATGCGGGTGCATTTTTATTTCAAAAAGTGAAAAATAGAAAGAAGTAGAAGGTAAGATGTCAGCAATCGTGTCTGAGCTAAAAGACGCAGCCATTGTCGCCGGAAGGCAGATGTTCTCCGAGCTAAATGGCACGTCGGGAACAAACTCGCTTTCGTGTATTCACATGTTTCGGGAAATATTTACTAATAAGAGTCAATAAGAAACGCAGCGGAAGTTTATCGATTGTAATTTTCATGCCATAGTGCCGTCTAAAAGATGAAGAATAGAACCTTTAAAGCAGCGTTTCCAACAATGTAGTAGACAACACGCATGGTCCCCGCCCGACGTATGTTTATCTACGAAACAGGGCAATATTGAAGTCACTCTCTACTCCACCAAACACTGTACTGTACGCAGCACTTTTATCATCGTAATGTGGTCTTTTATAATAATTAGCTTGCTAAGTAAGCAGTTCTTCGTTTATGTTTATGTTTTGTTTGAGAGTGGAGATGATCGTCTGGTCGCTGTTTTATAGTTTTCATGGGTTTACTTTATATTCTTGTTGATTATTCTCGTTGCAACAGTTTTATGTAGTAATTTTGTTCTTGCGTGTTATTCTATGCTTTATTATCTTTGAAACTGATTGAATGAATTGCCGTGCCGATCAATGTTCTATTCAATTTTGTTGTCTGTTATTTGTTTCCGTGATTCCTATTATTCACTAATTCGGTACTTAATTTCGTATTAGTTGTGACTTGATTACATTTGCGAACGCCTTGTTAAACATATGGCAAAGTTTTTTAGGTATTTCCACTGATAGCTTTTGTAATTTATTCTTAGTGACACGTGGTGAGGTAATAACATGCGTTGCGTGGTTGTAGAGATAATGTTTATTTTGTTAGGTTGTGGACCACATTGCAATATAAATTAACTTTAGTACACACGTCACTTTTACTGAATTTCTTGAAATACATGACTTAAGTTTTTATATCATTATTAAAACTGATTAAAAAGCTCCTTTGATTGATTGTTAAACATACAAACAGTGAGTATTTGCATGTACGTCAAGACATTCATGTAAATTTTGCAACAGGTTGTTTAACTAAATTTTGCGTTGAATAATCAAGAACGTAGATATATGTGTATGTGATATATCATTGGAAGACAGCTTACCAAGATTTTCTGCACTAGCGTTGACGTCGTACCGATGATGCGCTGGTTTGGAGTGCGGTGCAGGAGAGTGCAGAGACGTGCTCTTGTGTCGCCGAATTGTTGGCAGTCGCGATACAAAAGATGCATTGTTCTTGAACGATGCACTCATCACTCGACTGTTGGAGATATACATTTGTCACTTCTATGAAAGCTATGTAATTTAACTTTTAACAATTCGAACGAACCCAATTAAAAACGTTGAAACTTGAATTTAGCAATAGGGAAAATTTTGTCGCTATGGAAATTGGGGCCGGAATAAAATTACACAATTAGATCTCGGAGTTAATTACCTTGTTTGGGGGCTAGGCAACGGAACCTGATGTATCTTCCAGGTGGCGATGCTCATAGAGTGCTCATCCGCTGCGTAACACCTCCACAACGCCTGGATGAGAGTGGCGGCTGGCTGTCGTCTCCTGATCATGTGTTTCTGCCGCTGTTGCTGCTGAACTTTCAAGGCAAACCCTGAACCTAGGATACCCTGTTTCCAAAGTTTATAGCTGGTTTACTATCATGTATGTAGTTGGCTGACAAGTTAAAATATGAACCTGCAATGTTGGCGCTAAAAACAACTATAAACATTAACGCTTGTGTTGTCAGTTCCAATCGTTACAAAAACTTTACTTTACTTTAGACTTTAGTAAGTATATGTTTGAAACTTTACAACTGAACTTTGATAACAGATGGAAAGACACGTGGTCTTGGATTTATGCACAAAGACAAAAAACTACACCAAAAACAAAATCGTATACAAGAGGATTTTAATTCCTTTGGATAGTTATAATGGACTTCAAAAAAGGAGGAGTTTCTCAATTCGACTCTTTTTTTGTATGTATGTTACACGATAACTCTGGCATTTGTGAACCGATTTTGATAATTATTTTTTTGTTGGGAAGTGGGTACCTCGGTAGTGGTCTCATTTAAAATTGAAGAAAATATTCCACCTCTAAGAGTGGCAAACTAGGGGATGAATGACTTTTGAGGTCGGTTTTTCTAGTACTAAGATTATTTTATACGAGAATATCTTTGATAAATATATATCGCACCCTAGGTGTAATATTGCCACATCTGCGAAACATAATTTGTTTCATGTAGTTCGTATTATTTTTATGACTGTTATGTAGTCAGAGCAATTTTGACGTACGATGAGATGTGAATTTATTATACCAATACTACGATATGTTTAAATTGATCTGGTAATAAAGTATAAAAGTTTTAGCGTATATTACGTTAATATAAAAACATATACATATAAACATATACTTAGTCATACCTGGCACTTGATCGGGTAAATAATTATGTTTTGAGCGTGTTAGCTAATACATTTTGCCATGTGCACTTGACATAAACAAATTAGGCTAGATTGAGTTAAAGAAATGTGTCTCACAGCGGGAAGCGCGAAGAACGAGATCCCCAGGAGCGCGCAGAAAGAGGCAATGAACTTGCCTTGCCACGTCTGCGGCACCATATCGCCGTACCCCACCGTGCACAGTGTGATCTATACGCAGACGTGTAGGTATAGTAAATATTACGATTATTTTAAGACGTGTAACTACCGCATTGATAGCTCGAAATGCGAGTATTCGTTAGAGGAGAGTGAGGCGTTTGTGAAGGACCAAAGCTCGCCATATTATTGTTAAAATTGTCAGTTGATGAATAAATCTTAAACCGGCAACATCACGACTATTTCGTAACTATTTTTTGCCAATGTACGGGCTCGAAAACTCTGCTGCAAGTACTGATGTCATCAAGAACAAAGCAGACGTATCGTCAAAGCTTTGTTTACAAACGAATGAATTTTTTTTTATTTCTTGTGTGATTCTTTTTTACAAATATTCTGGTATGTGGATGGACACGTCTTTAAACTCCGCTAATATAAATATAAAATTCATCCATGTCTTCATCTATCCATACAAACAGGTTAAATAATTTCGATATGAAAATCTTGAAATCGTAAAACTGTCGGCGTAACTTGGAAACGATGAAATTTTTGACTACGGACGTTTCAATTATAATTTCAGCTCAACGAACTCAATTTTATAAAATACGAAAATTAAGTTACACTTAGAAATTGTCAATCTATGAATACATTGTTATCCGCCATTGACACAATGCCTCCTTTGTTTACCGCTTTGTTTAAGAGGTTTCTAAAATATAAGGAAATACAGCATTTTACTTACCACACCCCACCACAACGCTTCAGCGAAGTTCTTAAATTTTGTGTCAGTGACATCCTTTTCCGCTAAGTAAACCAAAAACGAGGCAAATATCAGCCCGAGGAATCCTATGTACAACGTTGTTATTAACTCCTGTGAACAAAAGGAAATGATAAAGTCGCGATTTTTGTATTTTATAAATCATGTGGGTTGATGTATTCTCTTACTTATTTAGCAAAATTAAACATGACTTCAAATATTGAAATTCAATACTAAACAGAGTGATGCTTAGACATAACAAATTTCACTTTATGCAACATAGATTTTGGTTACTACACTTAACAGCTTCGCTTAACAAATTCGCTTGTTATCAAATTTTTATAGAAGTTTTCACTTTAAAGGAAAATAAATCGTTACACTAAATGGCGACAGTAAACAGCAACAACGAACAAACAACAACAACCTTGCAATTTTTCGCGTTTTTCGTAAACATCTCACATTTCGCTGCCCCTTATCAACCATTGTATGGAATGATAACTAACACAATTGTTCGCTTTATCGAGCAGGATATGCGACAAGTCTTAGCAAGGGATTTTTCTGCCACATTAGACAAACTGAATGTATTAAAAGCTGTAATTCACAAAATTGAAGGCGTTGGCACGACTCGTTGTATTCCGACGAGAGCAAACAATGAGCGTGCTGATTTGATAAAAAGTAAGTATATTTTCCGCATTGCTGTAAAACAGCTATAAACTGGAACGTGATTCTTATTTGAACAAAATTAATAATCTCTCAACGAAATCACTGAGCTATATTAAAACAACTTTGTTTTCATTCATAAAGAAGCGACGTAGTGGAGGAATATTTACTCTTACTATATACCTAGTAGTCGATAAATCGGGCGATGACGGTTGTGGCAAGCCAACTCGCCGAATATCTAGCTTTCAAAATCTAGCTTCGAGTTGTGAAATTAATTACAAGTGATGAATTATAACCACAAGTTAAAAAATGTGTACTTCTCGTACGTAGCATGATTATAGTATATTAGTATTGTGAGAAACAGCAGAAAGTCACGTTAGTGATAAGTAAGTATAGTCCTATTGCCGTATTATAAAGTTTCTCTTTGTAAAATAAAATCGAACACTTTCTAAGGAAGTAAATAGAGATATTATTACAAATAAATTAAGAATGTTTGTATATTAGATTATATATATATATATAGATCAAGTTAGCAAACGCCCCGGGTTGAATGTTATCAAACATCGGCGTGGAGAGTGAGTTTTTGTTATGCTTCGCTGGAAGTTCGTCGACGATCGCCTTGTTTGACCGCTATTGTTTCAGATCGAACTATTTGCCTAGTCAATATTGCAGGAGGAGCGCGAAGTGCGACTTCGGGTTCGGCTTTATTTGCTCTGCATTGTGATCATGCAACTTTAATCTGACACAATCGTGGCTAGATATTGCTTACCGCCTTGTGTCCTCTTTACCTGTAACCGAACACACGCAGCGTGACTCTTACCTTAATATAGTATAAACAAAATTCCTTACCTTACAATATACTATGGGAACAACGCCTGAGCTTTAAACTTTTATTCAAATAGCAGAGGTTTAACGGTTCGTTGGAATGTTCAACGGTCGTTAAATTAACAAGATTTTTTAGAAGGTGGGCTTAATAATTGGCTTCGCCCATTAGTCATCTTCAGTAAGGGCGTATATCTAACCGCCAACTTCACTGGCAGAGGAAATTGCGGCCAGTCGGGTGTGCTTACTCAGCGTGGTTATGCAAGACGCGAGCCAAGCTTGACGCTAACGGTCGGCGGCGGTCCCCGCGCCCCTGCCCGACCAAAACGAATGATATAATTATACCCAGACACGACGCCCGATAGGGTTTATTATTGCAATAGTAAAAATTTCGTCACCATGGTAACAAAATTTTTAATTTCTCTTTTATAGCAACATTATATTATCACTGGTGGTCTTATTTACCATAAATTAGCTAGATATTTTTAATTATGTGGGTTATATCTACTGTTTGGGTTATTAATAATCATACGTTCCATTTCGTAGTTTAGTAGAACAACAGAGAGAAACACCGGATAAATCTGTTTGCATCGAAATATCCGTTACTCAGTCGTCATCACGCATCTGTTTTAAATAACCTGCCATGATCATAAAGTGTTTTGGGATAAGATAATTGGTAGGAGTAGGAAGGTCCTGTACTACTTTGTATCGTTTTGTTATATTATTTTATTACTGTTATAAAATTAAATATAATAGCCCATCTCTATTTCCTGTAATAATTTCGATATATGTTGCTATCTCATAGTAGTGACCATATATTACAATTAATGCCATTATTCTCTGCTAAGTTCACGAGCGAGTTAATGTAGAGTGCGTGTAGTAACTATAATATTTAACGCGTGTTTATGTACGTACACATATCAATCGCTAATGATGGTTGTTTAGTATTCATGACTTATTTATACACATGAACATGATATATAGGATTTATATCAGGTATTGAATAAGTATTGTCTTTAATCCATGCCCCAAAGTAACAGTAACAATTTACCAAGAAATATAAATATTTAGATTTTACCTAAATTAATTACTTTTACATCTGTACTGTTTAATAGTTCAACAATATTTGTTATTTAACTGTATGTTAAATAAAATTCGCATCTGTTCTAGTAGAATGTGGCATGTATTAATGTCGTTTTCATCTATCACGGTCTAGATATGCAAATTTCAAATTCGTCCTGCTTCGTCGTCCATCACAGTGCTTCCTACATTTTGCACAATCATGATACTATATAGTAGTAATAGTAACTAATATTATATTTAAAATAGTGACTCGATCGCAGAGTTTGCCAAACGAGATTAAGCTGTTCAATCAAATGGCAGTTTATCTGTTTGCTCTTCGAGTTACGGTTACACTCGCCCCGTGTTACGAATTCAAAGTTGTGAGATTCATCAAAGTAAGTTTAATGAGTCTTTTTAGGAATTCTGCTTACAACTGCTTTATTACATAAACATAAGTGAATATCGTCCTTTGGACATGTAGGTATCTACACTGTCTAGTCTAGAGTGCTAAAGTGCAGTAGCCTAGCCCTAGCGAAAGTAAAAGAGAAGGGCTCGGTCCACATAAATTTATTATACTTAAAGGAAGATAATGAAGAGAAAAAGACCCAATTGGGCGTATATACGTATTCTAACAACGAAAAAGAAGTAAATCACGACAAGTTAGAGTTTTAATGAGGATACTCCATGAGTACGTCCTCTCGCTTTGAAAATTTGGTGACGGAACCAACCAACGTAAGAATAGTGGAAGGAAAAGGAATTGGAGAACGAAAATTCAAAATCTTAAAAGTAAATGGCCAGGAACAAGTAGAGGGTGATAAAAAGGTGAGACGACGATGAAGGAGGTCAGCATCGTCACAATGCTAAATAGAAGAAAGCTACATATCCATTAGTAATACTTACGGGTAGAGGCATAAATATAATATAAATGATCAGTTTGTAGAGTATAGGGAATGTTTATGTGAAACGTACGAGTCGTGTCAGTCAGCAGATTTTCGGTGGCAGTATAGGTATATAGTACGTTTAAATATTGCTGATTCTCTGGGTGGCTTCTTGTCGCAAGTAGTTTTTATACTACAAAGTGACGGGATGAACAAGTTCCAAGAGCCATTCAGAGCTATAAATCACAAAGATCTGGGCACTGCCACTACACCCGATATCGTGAGACATAAGTTGACCAAGTCCTGTGTGCCTTTACTTTCACGAGCACCCTTACCCTTCGAAACCGGAACGCAGTAATGCACACATTACTGCTTGGCGGCAGAAATAGGCAAGGTGGCAGTACTTCCCTCGGCGAACCCTTTCACAAGGAGCTCTACTGCTAATATATGTCTCCATAAGTAGGTAAGTAGTGCGAGTCGGTAGGTATGAATCCTAATTGTAAATATCTCTATTAATAAGCATATCTTATCTAGGATTGTTTTAGGGACTAAAGTATGTTTGTATACATAAATCGTGTAATGTATTTTATTTTTAATTGAGAATTTAATATTGTTTTTCATATCTAAGAGCACGTCAATCTTGACTCAGATTTAAGTTCAACTGTATACCGCGATAAGATCCAAAGTCCAAAGTGTCAAGCTCGATATATTCTTTAAAGTCTCTAATGCCATGTAGCACTATTTCACTACTGTAAAGTACTCTAGCACGTAAATGTATAAATAACCTGTCGATGCGCGTAGACAACGGAGCCGAGCAATTTCCATGTCCCGCCACGGCGATCCATGCGCACCATGCGCAAGATCTGGAAGAAGCGCAGTCCGCGCAGCGCCGACGCCGCGAACACCTGCCCTGATGAGCCCATGCCAAGCACCACCAGCGATGCTAAGATTGTCGTTACATCTGTCACAATGTACTGACGTTATTTCTTAATAGTTGATATTGGTTTACATAAAGGAAATTTCTTATTTAGTACCAGGCAAGCTAATTACGTCTAGTTCTTCAAACGCTTTAACTCAATTAAGGTTATTAACTTCAAAGAAAACTTAATGGATCTCTTTCCTTGTCTATTTTCTTTCGCGAATTGCCAATAACAATATGTTAAGAAAAACCCATAATATATATCGTACCATCATAACCCGACGAAGCTCTGTTAATCATGTCTCGACTCGTCGAAAGTTCCGATGAAGTGTAATTCTCAAGATAAAATCGCACCTGTCTCGGGGGCCGCCTAATTGGTTCGGCATCGATAATGTCTTTCAATACACATCCGTGTATCGCGGGCGAAAATTAAGCATCATAAATTTCAAGTAAAGAGTCATATGTATAATTGAAAACATTAGGTGAATAATTTGGAAAGGTCCATATTAGTTGGTTTATATCATTGTTCGCGAGGGCCGATAGCGGTGTCGTGCGCGCCATATTTGCTGGTTACGTCTCAGGCGGGTCAGGTCCCTAGAGAGTGAAATAGAGGTGGCACGAAATTAGTACCAAGGGAAGGAGGGCTAAAATGCGAAGGTCACAGCAGATTGGTCGCACCTGAAATAGGGTCACGGTTCGTCACGGTTTATAGACGGAACGTGACTTTTACTTGGAAATGTTGTATGAAATGTCTTGGACCGTCTGTGGTGACGACATTTTTCTGAATATAACTGTGTTGTTCTATGATATATGTTATCCACACTCTCCTAACCTTGAAACTGAATAGATTATCGTGTTAATTGTTTTGTCACACCTATTTATACTTAGATGTGACTTGAATACGCAATAAAAAAAATATTTAGCTCAGTCTTAACAATAACAGCAGTTTCTTTAGTTCTTATTGTTCAATGTTCAACGTGTTGTTTTTAACGACACACAGAAACAAAATTATTTATACGTTGCGTGTCGTGTCACGGATTGATGACTTAGTCTTTGTATGAAAGAAGGTAAGTGAGGAAATAACGTTCACTTTGTACATACCTAAATATTAAAGATGACTGAATTAGTACGTATATACATTTAGACCAAAGGTAGAATGAAACTATACAGTGACTTACCTATAATGCAGAACGGCCGCCTCAAAAATTTGAGGCGGCCCATTGAGCCTTGGTATCGAGACCTGCATCCTGATGACCACAACCTACGAAAAATCGTGATAATTAGCAAACAATTGTATTTAATTTAATATTTACGATTCTTTGCCGAAATTTCAATTATTGTCCGAGGGTCACTTATGGGTTAAAGAAATTGAAGAACAGTAAATCAACGTCACACCAGATAGAGGAAAAGAAAATACGGCCTGTATATCCATTGAAAACGAGCAATCCGTCTACATTGGGTGACGTATTACTTAACGCGGGAAGCTTTCACAGCTTATCTACGAGTACGATATCCAGTACTCTATACTATACAATGTATCGGTATCGCTCTCGCTAGTATCATAATGGGATTGAATTGAATCTAATTAAAAAGGCAGAGAACAAAAAGGGCTGTTTCTCATTCGCATAAGATTTTTTCAGTACTAAAAAAATAATGAATCTGTTAGCCTATGTGTACATTGCATTGAAGCGAGCGGGAACATTTTAAACATTTTTACACCTTTATGATAAGCCGGTGAAAACAAACGTCTTTCGTCACTTTGCCTGTTTCGTATTTTTACATGATCAGTTGTGATATAATTTTGATTGCAAGAATGTAGTTCTTACAATTCGGACTAAATTGCCCGTTCTATATTATAAATAATTTGATGCGTCTCGCTAAGGACTTACCGTAAGAAAAATTCTATCGCGAACCAGATGACAACTACAGTCTCCATGTAGAACAACACGATTCCAGCTTTAGCTTCGTATTCCTCGATTGTGGAGAAAACTGACAGCGATAAGCACATGAACACCATCAGGAACCTGTCATGAATTTTACATGACTTAATATATAAATATAAAGTTCGTGTACCTACTACTATTATTATGTGAATCTATCTGTTGTAGGTAGGTACTTCTAATTTTTTTTGTAGATAGGATTGGAAAATAAATTTATACAGATATAAATCGAGTAAATTGTCTTGGAAATAATTGTAACATTGGTAGGGTTTCCGGAACTATGCCATGTCAAAGTTAAGAGGAACGAGGACCTTTAGGGCATACTTCATAATTGAGTTTTGCTTGTTCTTCCGCCACGCCGGTTTTGTTGGAGCAATTAATATTGCCATTACGGGCTCAGAATTACTCACAGGAATCATCCACCTGACGCTTTATGAGAGACAATCATTAATATTGCGACGCTTTGGCCTACGTCAGACAAATATGCCGCCTTCATAATTAATAATTACCAACAAATATTGACAAATAGAGGATAAGTTAGGCTAATTAAGCTCTACAAATTGGATTTTCGTAGTAGTTCTTCACATCTGAGGAAGAATAACAAAAAAATATGGCGTCCTGGCAGAAATTATAACACTAAAAAATATATGGGTTTGTTTACAAAAGAAAATAGGTCAAGATTTTCGAGGACGACTTACACAATCATATGATAGAGGACGGCCTTAAAACCTCTAGGCCGTTCGAGAAAGTTGTAGAACTTGGACTGCAAGCGGCGGTAGCGCGCGTCGCGTCGCGTGGCGCGGTAGCTGAGTGGCTTGCCAAGCAGCGACATCCGCGGCGTCGCCAGCCGGTCGCCCGCGCCGCCACGCTTACTTTCACTGCAACCAACGCCCACTGCTCACTATTTCTCAAAACTTTTCCTTATTTCCCACGAAGAATAGTCTGAAGTCTCTTCTGCAATCGCGGACGCTGGCTTTCCGAACCGTAAAATGGCCAATAGTCGTTAAGTCCGAAGTAAAACTACGTTTTACGGGGCTAGACCAGATGGAACTATTACGCTTGGCTCTTAGAGATTGAAACATCTTATTTTTTAGGTTATTCCCTATTAGGTACGTACCGATATGAGGAGGAACTATAAACAGTAAACAGTCAATATTAACCGCCACGCATAGTGATATTACTATAAAGTAAAAACTGAGAGACATAATCTGAACTTCAAAATGTGTATAAATTTTCAAAAACATTTCAAAATTTATAAAACCAAAATCTCTCCATATGAAAATAATGCTGGTTTAACCTAAAAACTGTGGGAAATTTGACATACGGAAGAACAAAATTTTTAAATAAGGATTTACAGCACTCTTAAAACAAAAGTTGTTGTTTTTGATGTCCAAAATTAAGCGTCTGAAATTATTGCATTAACTTCATGGACAGGCTCTATGATTTATAAGAATACGGCCTATGTAGGTGGATAGATACTTAGCCGTTTTTGAGATAGTATATGCTTCGCTTAGTATTTCGTTATACTGAAGCAGTTACACTCACACGTAACGCTGAAAGACTGATCTGCAATCAAAATCGCACAAATATTCGCAACCAGTTTAAGCAATACGAATAGCAAGAACTGATTTATAATACATACATGAGAATAAATCAAAAGTCATGATGATTTTTTAACATTTATTCATGAATCAGCTATACACAAATTGTTTTAATTTAAAAAGTAAGTGCACCATAAAGTATACTAATAAAATATTAAAAGCTGCCTACTTTTATACAGCTGCTCTTCTTCAGGTGGCTATTATAATATATTTTCCATTTATTTGACGTCGGTCATGTAAATGAGATCTTTAACTCATCGGTGAATGGTTTCTTGTTCACTTTTGTGCAAGAAAATTAAAGAAAACCTGTGTGAGCTTTGATCGATTTTTATTTTCTAATTGATCTTCTGCCACCCGCAGAGAGTCTTTATACCAAGTAGTATTTTTGAAGACGTATGTATCATAAGTTTTCCCAAACTGTACAAGTGTCAAACATCAAAGTTCTCTGTTAAATTATTCTCTCAGGTATGAGTATATATATTCAAGTATCCACGTACACGCGCAACTTGTTCTTCGAGGCGTGAAAAAGCGTCGAAAATGAGTTTTGTTGGAATATCGCAACTCATATCGTGTCACGTACACTTTGAGTATACTCACAAAGATATTCATTACCTATTTGCATCTTGTCATATCCTATTGTCATACTGTAAGTTGCTAGTTTTCATTCTTTTTCTTTTTTTTTGAAAATTCATTCGAATTTATATTTATTTTCATACTTCGATTTTAATCAGCTTACCTTCTATAGAATTTACCAGACGACACGGAAATAATGAATAATCAAGATACTTTTTATTAGACAACATCATTCCTTCCTTATGTTCCTTTTACCTTTCAAAACGCCGAAACCATTAATTCTTCAAACATGCGCAAAACCATTAAAGAAAATATCATAATAAAAAATTCAATGAATGTTACGCAAAAATGATTCCCAGCAATAAATTCAATAAAGTTAGAAAAGACTCTACAAAAGAACGTTTCTGAATGGGATTTTTTTAGATCCATCGTTTGGATACCATTGACACGTCTGCTGGAGAATTCGAACTACGGATCTACATACAATTGCATACGGCATACTTTGCCTCCTACAGATGTGTAGAAATATTCGTAGAATCGATGATTTCGGGTTTTGGGGCGTCGCAAAATTTGCACGGGGCGGACTTGTATGCTAATTCTGTATACCGTGCGATCAAACCCATATTGTCAGTAGCTACGCATCTAACCGTTTATCTTTGCTGAGATCAAACGTTTACATAAAAAGCACAGATCCTCAGATTACGTATTGAAGACTTCACAGAAATCGCCTCACGTACAATACCTGCTAAATATGATTTAAAAAATTGATGATGAAGTACATCGCAACATGTCTCTCAATGCGGTAGGTATTCGGGTTTTTTGTCTCAGCAATAACACAAACGAGCTTAGAGCAAATTGACTTTGCAAATACAGACTTCAGTAGCGCTTTAGATAAAGCCTTCAAACATTAATTGGATAGTTTACTTAGATAAACTATTAGGTAGATTGGTTCGCATCATGGTAGTCAGTTTCAAATTGAAATAATTGAGTGTAAATGGTTCTGGTTGTCATTTGTGTCATTTGTTGGTAGTTCAGATTTTGTTCGAAAGATATTTCTTGCTGTGTTAGTTTCTATATTTCAGTCCATTTTTTATATATTTTTTTTATTATTTTGTCCTCTCCGTAACAGTTGCAATACAAGTCAGAGCTTTAAATCAAAAAGATCTGAGGGGCACTGCCACTGCGCCTGTCACTCAGAGATATACATAAGTTGACATGTTCCATGTGTCTGTTATTTCACCAGTACCCTTATCCTCCAAAACCGGAACGCAGTAATGCTCACATTACCGCTTGGTGGCAGAAGTAGGTAAGGTGGCAGTAGTTCTCTAGAACTCTTTCACAAGGAGCTCTGCTGCTACTAAAATTTGATTGATGACCTAAGCTGGTTACAGTCAATTGCTGCAAGATCACTTTGTAATTTATAATACATTTCTCATTTTTATCTGTACCTCAGACGCAGTGAAGTAAACATGATTCCTTCTTTTCTAAAATAAAACCATTAGCCAAATAAGACGGCTCACGATGCCGGAAGAAAGGAAAAGAACTCATGATAAGGATTAAGTTGAATGAAACGCTTTATTTCGTTCAGCGTTACTTGGGCGAAATTATAGTCGATAGTATTTAAGGGGATTTACAAATAAAAGACAGAGAAAAATGTTTTTGATAAAAAAAATCATGAAGGGCAGTCACGTTTCTAATAAACTCAAAACGTCGTTTATTCTCGTTTATCGACTAACCAATTGCGAATTTTAAGAAACATTTAAAAGTTATTTTTGTTGGATATATCTAGCGTAGATGTCGTTTCATTATATGTGTAGATTAATGTACTTACCTACATAAAAATAATTAAGTTTCTCAATTGGGTGTAGCTTTATTAGTTAATGAACTAAAATTTTGCGTCACAGATTTTATGCATTTATCTTTTCCTAGTTGCTATCCTAACGGAGTTTGGGAGATGTTTTTCCCTACATTTCCTGCATGCTATATGTTTATATCACTTACATAAGAGTCCTTGAGAGAATGAGAGAGATGTAAAGCATGCTGAGAAAGAAAACACAAAATCTGTTATATCGCATTTTCAACAAGGATTCAGTTTCTGGATACAAGAATACTGTTGTTAAAGTTGTTTAGGAATATTGATATTCATATGCAAGTAATTTTTTTCAGTGTAATGACCTTTTAAGTTTCGAATAGCGTATGTTTTTTTTTTTATAATAATAATAACGCACACACTCAACATAGCCCCGCACTAGGGAAACCCTGTGTCGCGGGTGCCATGGACACACATAGACAACCACAAATTACACCCAAACTCACGAGAGAAATAAATGTAGGCCATACAAATATTTCTCCCGGCCCGGAAATCGAACCTGGGACCTCTGCGTGGCAGTCCAGCATGGTAACCGTTCGGCCACAGAGGCAGTTATATGTAATATGTTTATATGTAAATATAATTGTAAAGATAAACCCTGCGTCTAATTTATCTCATTAGTAAATTATTCGTGATACAGTGGCTGTTTGACTTAAAGCGTGGCTTTAAAAGCGGTGGCGTCATGGCTTTGCACGACTTATCTACTTAGGTTATTAGGCCAGAACTCGAGTACGATTTAAGCAAAAGTAACGAGGATTGTGTCCCCAAAATCTCTTTAAGTATTTATATTTTATTTAGTATAAATATTTTGTTTGTCTACTGTCTCTAAATTAAATTACCTATCGCAATTTCTGTCCGTGGTTTTATATTACGGTTATATTTTTAGTTAATATGTTAAAAGATTAGGTATTCCTAATACAGTTACACGTTATGCCCTGTATAAAGATTTGTTTGTTATGAAATTCAAATCCGTGCTTAACATAGTTGACGGTTGCCCATAATACCGCTCCCTCATCCGCTAAAGCTCTGCGAATTTATAAAGGTTAATGCATATTTGCGTATCTGGTAGGTTAGGTTATTAAATTGTAAGTTGGTAAATTGAGTACTCGACAAAATCAATTTTCATTTATTGCAAAAGTTTCAATTAAAAATAAAAGAATCACCAGGAAAGAACTTTGAAAAATTGTCAACGTCTATAATAACTGAATCATAAATTGTTAGATCTGAAATGTAAGAATGTCTAAATGGTTGTTCAGGCCCGTTTTGAAGTCACGTGTTTAAGATTAGATTTTACTTGAGTGTGACTAGCGAATAATAATTGTGATGATAAATAAAGTTATAATAATAAGTATATCACCATCCCGCTTTTTTCTCGTTACGAACCTATAGGTTCAATATAAGTACTGAACTGTAATAAGAGTTCATGGTAAGGCCCCCTGTCCCATAATCTGATCCGGTTAATTGATGTTTGCTTACAAAAACCAAATTCGTTTAAATCAGTAGTTATAAACCACTTTTATTTTATGTAAACAAGGTACAAAAAATTTACAGGGTTAACGTGTAATAGGGCAATAAAGATTTGAAATTAAACATATTTTTAATTGTATGAAAACCCTAATTAGGTTAGGAATAAGACCGAAATTGTTACCTGGGTGATCAACAATAAATACAAAACACACAAATATTTTGCACTAACATACATTTTTTATATAAAAATACATTTTTTTATTCCATAATTCCCAGAACCAGTACCCATAGAAAGACGACACATATTTTTCTAATCTAGCCATAAGTCATTTCTGTATGCCGCCGTGGGCATGGTTTTTATACTTTAGAGGGCCAAGATCACAGATCACAGTGGTATATTACCCAAAAACATAAATAAATTCCAACAGATTGTTACTAATTTTGATCCGATCTGGAATACGGCTTTGTTGAGTATGATTTTTGGAAATGTAAACGAAAAATATTGGATTTGTGTCGAGGTTACAGTTATTTGGACGTATTTCACGCCCACACACGAGAGTAAGGAGTTCTAATAAGTATTCAGAACTAGATTTCTGATTGCTTTTGATCAATTACTCGCATAGTGATGAAAATTAAAAATTCGCCTAAAGTGATCTATTCCAAAACTCAAAAATAAAAGTATGAGTAACTACGTAGCTAGTTAGTTAATCATTTAAAAAGTTTTATGAACCGGAACAACTAACTGTATTTTTGGGAAGATGTTAAACATTCTGGTTATCATTAGATTTATACAAAAAATTTATGTTCAATTTTAAAATCTAACTACGGTAGCAACTAAAAATTGATTAGTTAAAATTTAAAGTAGATTAATGTTTTTAGAACAAAGGTCAGCAGAAATAAAAACGTTCTACGTAATTTCTACGAATATAGGTAAATAGAAATAATGATAGTAGTATATTACCTATGTCGTATTGCATCCTCATGTACCCGAACACGCCTTGTCGATTTCATTTTCACCTAAAGATGTTTATGCCAATAAATGTTATGTTACTTTAAATAGTTATTAAAATTATTTTAGTAATGGCAAGTTTCTATTCGTTAGTATAAAATTCTGAACATACGGTTCGGTTGAGTGTCAATTTATCAAGGTTGGGAACAAAAATAAAGCAATGTGAGTTTGGTTTGAGGTGAATGCGAGTGGATTTGTTAGTAAGTTCTGAAGTCACTTGTAGGTATTTATCATGAGATTTATTTATTTGCAAATACAGACCCTATTGCAACAAGCCAGCTAGCCATAAAACATTTATCCCAAAAGTTTTGTGGTCAGCTTAAGTTAATGTGTTTTATGGCTGACGTTAAAAGTTAATAAAAGTAGGTCAACTTTTACCACCAAACTTTTCAAGGTATCTTATTTTTGTGGAAATCTACGTTTGCCGATTGCTTATTTATAGATTAATGTGGCGGTATCAGATATAATACGTAGAGTAAGCAATGTTATTGTGAACATGAAATTGGCATATTGGCGGCGGCGCACTCGCGCTGGCCGTCGTATTTTAATCACGTAATGTAATGCGAAAAATCTGTTCGACCCAACGCTACCTACGTTTAATGGTAAACTATCGATCCAAATATAGTGGGTACTTCATACGCCATTAACTGAAGTCATTGTTGGCAATTATGTACAATGCAAAGGCACAAAGCACAATGCAATATCGAAGTGGCATGCTGCTGTCATTTTATAACTTGTTTCGTTCCAAACGTTTAAGGAACTCACGTAAAATTTACGGTCTAAACATTATCGTGCAAAAATCGAAACATCAGACGTTACTTACGTACCTTAAAATTCACAGCCAATCTAAACAACTGAAAACTGACATCCATAAATATTTACATTCCGGTAGATGTGAGCGGAGTCTAGTCGCGTGCGTTAGGGGGCGCGCGTGGTGGGCTGTGATCAGCGGCGGCGGGAGGCGCGCGCGGCGAGCTCGCGGCACGTGCACTGCGCGCCCGGCGCGCCGGCATAATACCGCCCGGGTAGCGCGGGCGGGCGACGGGCAAGGAACTCAGCCGCCAACTGACGCTTGCCGCCGCGCCACCCGCCCCGAGCCCGTGCCGCCCGCCTAAGGGTGAGGTCGTAGTCGCTACTTTAGCGACGCCGACGGCAGCTATTACTCGTAGATCCTTTGTCAATTATTCGCTTTTCTAGTCGTAGTTCTTTCATAAAATGACGTCCTTATTTTATTGTCTTTCTGTCCGTTAAAAAATAGATAACATCCTGTCCTAACGAAATTAAATACTGTGAAGATTAAAGAAGAATAAGAATAGTAGAGCCATTAGGGAAAGTTGACTAAAACGACTACATATTTAATAATGAAGGTTTTTAACACTGGACTAATAGCGCTCAGCTAAACAAAGGGTAAAGATAATAGTTTTGACATCGCCTTAGCGAGTTAGTACTTGACTTGTAGGTGCAAATGGTGAGGTCGACCTTCCACCTTCTCTCCATATTTATGCACTCGTAGACGGGCTTGGCCCTGGACGGGTGTAGTGAGAGACGACCGAGGCGTCGGCGTCCCGCGTCGACTATCGCCATACCTTACTCTAATTGTTGGCCACATCTGACTATTCCGGTCATCGTACCTGCACTCGAATTTTCCCTAAATGAAAAAAAGCAGTTATAAGCTGCATATTTAATACCTATTCTCAAATTCGCTTTATTGCGAGATTAGGTGCACGTTCATAAAAAGTTACTAGCAAATATCTTACAAAATGGTTTAAATGCAGCAGGCCCTGGAACAATAGAAACAAGAAGAAAATTCTTTCGAATTCGTTGTAGAGAATGTTATCTACAGACATGTGTATTTTAACGTAAGCGATGTTTCGTAGCTGTAGATAGAATTCTACCGGAAAATGTGATAGTACGGCTGCAAATCCTCAAGAGACATTCTACCTAGCTACCCTATTGTTTGCAAGGTAAAATGTGGAGGTCAGTGCACATACAAATTAGGTAGGTATATTTCTGTTCAACATAACGTACATATTTATTTGCGTAAGGTTAGTTAACTTAGCTTTGTTTAAAAGTTGTAACATTACAGTTTTTTGTGTGTGTTGGATATGTTGCGTATTTTAAGATTTACCGAAATAAAAACTATTTACAGATAGAACACCTGTTTATAGTTTTAGGGTAGAGTATAGAAATTAGGGTTCCATAGTCCTACCACGCTTTATTATTCTTTTGTTAAACATTTTTGTTTATGTTACCGTCTTCAAAATTTAGTTTCAATGGAAAATTTTAAACTCTCGAATTCCCCGTCCAAGCGATAACAATAGTACATTTTACGTCAAAGTAAAAATGATTACCTACGCAACATTTTTCAGCAATACGTAAGAGTAATTACGAACAGTTTTCAGGCATAATAACACAACCGACGCGAACGACGTCATCGGCTGCTTGTACAAATTGCTTTTCTTTTCTCCTCGCTCTTTTGAAATGTAAAATCAGAAAATGAAACTCCAACCAGGGCCTTATATCACCCCAGTCAAACGTTTTACTAATACTAGCGAATAAAGTTTTAGATTTTCTGTAAGTCGCAAAAGTCAAAGCATTTCCACGAAACAGGAAGAAAGACACTCCACGGAAAGTAAACGATTATTGAGGTAGAGAGATAGTAATGATCAAAGTTTCAACGTCTACAAATATGTAATTGAGATTTGAAGAGTATCAGGAGGAATTATAGTAGGTAATAAACGACGAAATCCTTAACAATCCATCAGATAAAAGACCGATATTTAGGTGTAATTAAAGATAATGTTCGGGATTAACGGATAAATTTGCATATGTATTGTATCCAATAAATAATGTGAATAATAAAACTAATACATTTCTTAGTTTTCGGGTAATAATATTTGTAATACCCAATCCATAAAACCCAATTTCTGCGTTCCAGCTGGCAGCTTAAGATTGCTTGAATATATATAAACGGACCGCGTCCGACCATTGTAGAGATTGGTTTGATTAAACTAGGCAATTTTACTTCGCAGGCTGAGCCACGTAATAAAGCTAGCCGAGAAATAAATTGCACTCTTCTCTTTGACTTTATTATCTAAAAAGTCTTTCTCGTTTAAACGTTTTCAGATTAATTTGATGAAGAATCTCGGTTTATTCCTGCTACTTCGTAAGTCGATGGTAAATAAAACTAAGGTCTAAATGGCCTTAAGAGAGGTTACATACGGCGACTTCTAGCAGCAATGCAAACGCGATGCACATGCGAAGCAAGCGCGATATAAACGCATTGCAAACGCGATACAAACGCGATGCATATGCGATACAAACACGATACACGTTCTAAATTAATTACCTAATTTATTTATTAAATGTATCTATTAAATTCACATTCATTGTTTCATCTTGTTAATTGTAAATTTAAAAAAATTATGATTAACAAGATAAAACAATATCCACAGATTTCTCGTACATAGTAATTCAACATAAGCGACTATATCGATGCAACCGCGCGTTTGTATCGATGCAATCGCGTGTTTGTATCGATGCAGTCCCGCGTTTGTATCGATTAGTCGCGCGTTTGCTTCGACGCAATCGCCTATAAATCGCAATTGTAGCGATGCAATCGCGTCTATCACAAACGCGTTTGCATCGCTGCTCTAAGGCTTAGCGAACTGTCAGACTGTTCGGCGATCAACGTAGGTATGTACTAACTGATGAAATTTGTTAACAAATTTCATCACTTCCTCTGTTTTATCTCCGAGTATTTTAATTTAAAAGTTATAGAACCTACGCTGATCGATGACAGTCAGACAGTTGTCCAATCCAAAAGTTGGCAACGTTGTTGTATAGGCACACGGTTGCAAACCGGTTAAATTTCGTAATCGGTTTGGGTCTTCTAGTTACGTTCGTTGGGAGCAATATGAACTGGTTAATTTGGGTTGCTCACGTCACTCATATTTGGTAACAAATACATATTGAATATAATACATACTGAAAACATTATTGAACATATTGAAAATACAGATTGAGGTAACTCGCATGTCGACTACGACGTAATTAATTTTTGTAGTGGTATAACGATCACGCAAAGTATGATTTTCGTCTGAACATTGGTTTGTGGGGAGGAAGGGTAGTAACCGCGGCGTTGCGGCGGCGTGGCGGTATGTAGGTTAAAGTGTAGTTCACGGTGAATGTTGTGAACGTGACAGATTTTAGACAGTTATTTGACAGACATGACAAACTTGACTCACTTGACAAGTAAAGAAGAATTCTTATACGAACCATAACCTTAAAGGATGGATAAAAAATAGTCTAAGACCATAACCGATATTGCTGAGAATCGCAAAAATTTATATTATTTTTACAAATCTGACAGGCAATCCCAAAAAAGGCACCGCCAATAAACAAGAAGAACTTGATGTTTCGACGGCGTAAACCGTGCCCATGTTTTATTCATTTTATTATACCTAAATGTTGGAAATTAGTTTAGCAAAACCAATTTATATCCGTCCGTAATCATAAAGCAGCTGGCTTTAGTTAAAATTCTCTCTCCCACACACTCATACACTACATGAATAGGCAGGCGTTAGAGAAGAAAAGGCGAGCAGTGGTCGGCTGTAAGAACTGTGTACCAGGCGTTGCTTTTCCCTGTTGTTCAATCAAGCACGAAAAATGCGCTGAGTGTGAGAAAATTTAGCAGTCGGTATTTAGGTGCAGTATCGGGTAATACCTTTCTAAATTGGTATTTCAGTTATCTAACCGGTAAATAAATGATTGATAAATTCATGATAAAAATTCAAACCAGGTCTCAGGTTTCCGACATTTCTGATAGGTAGCTACTAAGGAAGTATATTCTAATATCGTACCTTGAGACATAAGATCTTAAGTCTTCTATTATGCAATAAATGAATGAATGCCGATAATAATAATCATGACCGCGTATGAATATGTCAGTGAAACGTTTCTAAAATCATCGAAGATTATGTCTGGCAGTAATTATAAATGATTTGAATGAAAGTGGCACTAATTTGAGTGGTGTGTTTACAAACAACTTGGAACGAGCATGACTGATTGGCTCGCACACTGCGTCGACTCCTACGCTCGCACAATGGAATTATTATTACGGGTGTTCTTAGCACCACTAGGCCACACATCGTAATCCTTAGGCAATTTGGTTTTACTGCTTCAGTGACGTTTCTAATGTAGATAATTAAAATGACAAGACTTGCATATAATATTCATATATTATAGCAAGCCAGAGTGCTACTTAAACAGGTATCAAGAAAACTAAAAACTAAGTAGGTAGGCAAGTAGATTATATCGAAAGAGTGAAATGATCGGAAGATTCAGAAGAGGAAACTCGGACGATACTAATAATAGTTTGCCAACATTTTGATTTATTCTTATAAATAAATGTACAAACATGGTCAATGTGTACAAAATTGCTGCAGATGTATGAAGACAGAAATGAAAGAAAACGTGGTTTTAGTAGATCTGTGGGTCGCTACGTAGTAGGTATGTATTGGGCTTTGACTAACTATTTCGCAGCTCCGGGCAAAATGATATTTGCCGCCCTTTACAATGACACCGTATAAGTCATGAGCGCGTGCCTTATTCCGGCGTGCCCGTGGTAGAGTTTTTAAAATTTGACTCGCCAGATAAAAAGTTGCTATTTAGCCGGTACTAGACGCAAAAAAACTAAATTTAGTCGGTCCGCCGTTAAAAAGTTATAAGGATGTTTTACGGAATAAGCTTATTCCAGCAGCACCATTTCTCAATCTCGAGAACCACGATACCTAGCTTAGATCTGATTTGATTATACTAAAAAAGTCGTGATTTAGTCGGTTCTAGTCGTAAAGAACTAGATTTAGTTGTTACGCCGTTTCCGTCTACGCTCGAATAAGCTTATTTTGGCAGCACCATTTTTGAATCTCGAGAACAACAGCTCCTAGCTTAAATCTGATTGCACCCAGAAAAAATTGTGAATTAGTCGGTTCTAGTCGCGATATTTTAGAATTAGTCGCTCCTTTGTTTGGAAGATACAACCGATTTATTATTTCAAGGTTATACCTGTGTTAGTCTCAGAGGTCAAGTACAATTTTGCATAATTATACAGCATTTGTTACTTTATTTGGGGTCGGCGAAAATGGTTCAGGTTTTTGAAAAGATTTGGACCAAAATATAACACCAACTTCTCAGCACATATGCTTTCCCCGCAGTTTAACTGATTGACAGAAAAACACAAGAATTTATTTGTTTTAAAATTTAAAGTAAATAAAAAACATAATAAATCTGTATAGCCACAAAACGAATTAGTCATTCTTAAAAAATAATCAAATAAAAGTAAACTCTACCTCTAAAATAATTTTGTTCACAATGTTTTGTTATGTAAAATCTTTTATAACTTTTGATAAAGTTAGACTGTCGCAAACCTGATGTTTAATTGAAATTATAGCCCAGAGAATAATAACCCAGATAATCTATTTTGTGTCATGGTGGATCGCAGATATTTTTTATTTATATTTTCCGTCTAAGAATTAGTCTACGGTTTAGCGGTGGCAACTGTTTAGTTGTGCAATGCGAAACGGGAGGTGAGCGTGCCAACAGCTCCGGTAGGTACCTATCTGGACAATAGGGAAGGCGCTGTATGTAGCCCATCCAAGGCGCTAGCCTTTTGAGAACCGGATGAAGTCTGTGTAAACGGGCTGATCTGGAATCAAGACCTGACTAATAAGGTCGCTGTGAAGGTTTGCTTGCACAGGTTATGGTGCCCTTCCTGTACCTATAAATTTATTCAAAACATTCCACATAGAAAAACACTACACATTAAATATCGAATATAATAGCTTAAAACTAAGTGCTTCTACACTTAAGGAACATCATACGTATGCAATGAAATATTAACAAAATTATTATTTTGTTATAATTATTAATACAAAGATCGAACACTCAGAAAAAATTCCTTCGATCCGGTCGGATTCGAACCGACGACGTCCTCTTGCATACCGTGCCAGACGCTATATCAACTAATCCACGGAACGAACCAACGGACCTCACGAATTTTTCTATGTGCTTGCGTCGTGTCTTTGTACTTGGTCTTTCAACGACTTTTTAGTCGTAGCGCCATCTATGAGAAATCTATTGCAGATTTATCACCAAGTTAGTACCTTTACAGCTACCAGTCCTGGCGAGAGATGTCGCTATTCACTGAATTAATTAAATTTGTATTGAATTGATATTCAATTATTTTTTGTGAAATTACTCCACTAGTTTGTTATAATTATTAATACAAAGATCGAACACTCAGAAAAAACGCTCAGAAAAATTTCCTTCGATCCGGTCGGACCAACGGACCTCACGAAAAGTAAAGAAAAATTCGTGAGGTCCGTTGGTTCGTTCCGTGGCTTAGTTGGTATAGCGTCTGACACGGTATGCAAGAGGACGTCGGTTCGAATCCGACCGGATCGCTATAAAGAAAACTTATGTCGAAAGATATGAAACTGTTCTGTCTAATAATTTATAGCCACTAAATAGTAATTTTAAAAAACCTTTAAAAATACGTTTTTGTCGGCCTACTCATTGTAATTTTTATTCTTATCAATTTAATTCCACAGTTTAATGCTTATTTTCTGTACATGCAACCGCCCGGGGCGCTCCCAATTTTACCGCCCCTCATTTTTGACGCTCTGAGCAAATGCCCGGCTGGCCTATATAAACGTATTAACCGAGTGTTTGCCATGAGTACCTAGGCACTTTTATAAGGAACAGAACGTAGTCAGCTGTAGATGGCATTTTTATTATAATCTAGACCACAGGTTCCCAGACCTTTTTTCTCATAGATCACTTTCAAAATTTAGCTGGTTCCGGTGAACCCCCTGCAGCTACATTTCTACCATATTCAAAGTTCAAGGCGCGACTAGCGCGAGAGCGACATAAAGCGCGAGATACTGCGCTGTTGTTATGTCGTTCTCGCGCAAGTCGCGCTTATTCGTGAAGCCCTACTGGACGAATTTTTTCACAAGGAGTTCTACTGCTACTAAGTGTAAGGAAAAAATATTTTCATAATAATTTTAAATTGGAGTAATTACAGATTAGGTTATGTAAGGTGAAGGGAACAACAACGGTATAAGTACGTAGGTATGGTATTATGTATAGTCTTCGTGGTTCTACGTCGTTGTAGCGTCTATTTAGCGTGATGCAGGCGCGGAGTCCTCCGGCCTAACCAATTTCTTCCAATCGTTGCAGAAGACTACGGCACTTTCAAGGTGTTCCGCTCTGTAGTTGGACACACGCGGCCGTTTCCTTCATCTCCATAAATGCCATCCATAAATAAGTGTTGTAAGGGTGTTAAGCGTTTCGATGACGTCATCAAATCCAGTCCAAGTGCGATATACAGTTTTAATTGTTTTATTTAGTACGTTTCAAAGCGCCAATAATGTCACACATTCTTTCCAAATAGGACAAGAACAGAGATAATGAAACACAAAAAACTATCAAATAGATTCCGTGCAGCTATTTTAATAAAGACGCGAACCCCTAATACCTTGTAACAACTGCGTGGATTTTCTTTATACCTAATTCAATGGGAGTAGTCACAATTCTAAGCAAAATCGTCATAACATCGCGATTTATGATCAACGTAACGTAAAATCGACCAATGCTAGTGTAGTATTTTTTGAGTGAACTCCAAAGTGCTCACAGTTGGGTATAGCCATGGTACCTATATAGCAGTATGTTGCAACAAAAACCTTAACCGTTAACACCCGTTAGAGCTAAAATATGGCGTTCACCTTGTTTGTTTTGGTAATTTCCGGGATAGCCTGGCGTGGGGATCGTTTCTATAGCCAACCTAAAGATTGTCTTGGAACCTTTATGTATTTAGTCCTTATTTCATGGCCTTCAACAGAGGAGGGACATTATGTCCATCGTAAACCCTCTTCTGGCTCTTTGCCACTTCGTGTCCTTCTCATTTCCCGTATTCCATAAGTAAGCTATTTGATATTCTCAAGCTGTTTCTTTTATTTGTTTTTTTTTTAAGTCCATTGATCCACTGTCATCACTCATCAGTGATCTGCGACTTAGACAAGCCCTGAGTTTATATGTATAATCGCTGCTCAGGGCTAGTACTGACATGCTATTGGAGTATAATCAACAGAGGTGATTCTTTATAAAGTGACTACGAAATGTTTAAAATATTAGAATATCAGGAATTGTATTTTTTTGGGATATAAAACAAAGAACATAATATATGTAATTATGAAATTATTCTTTTTATTACAGTCCTTACAAATATAAAGAAACTTCCAGTTATGCAAATTCTCACTAATTTTCTAATTCTTCAAACATTGTACATACCAACACACACAACACTTTTGTGAACACCTTTATTTGAAAAGCATTTGTACATAATTATGGTGAACATAACTAAAAATCATCAATCATAAATATCATAATGCTATTATTCCAAGTAACGCTGCTGACTATAGTGGAGGAATGCAGGTAAAACAATAGAAATGTATCAGTAGCAGCAGTCAACAGTGTTGTAGACGATTGCATAAGAAATTTAGTGTCAACAGCAACCTACCATTGCATTCGGAGTTGTACAGTCCACAGCATCTTTTAGACTACTACTTTAAATAGTTATACTCTGATTCAATTTTATATATAACAATAATGTTGTCGGCAATCTACCGCTGCTGTTCGTGACCTGCTATCTGCGATTATCGTCTTGGGATTATCTATTAAAAACTTTTATATTTTGAATTTTGGAAAAATATTTACTTATTTTGTTTAGTAATTATTTGCTGCTTTAAAGATTACAATATGACGCCTATGACTGAACAATAAATCAATAATTAAAATAAAGAATAATCATACCTTATACTAAATATTATGCTACAATTTATTACGCTATTATCCGCCTTTCTTCCATTTTTCACCTGGAGTATATTCAGTCATAGGTTTTCCAGAGATGCCACATGTGCCAATGCCTACTCTACCAGTTAAATTGTCTGGGGAAGCAAATATACTTTTGTTCCGCACTCCAGGTTTCTTTGCAGCCTTTGTGTGGAAATTTAGCCACTTGTTTTTCTCACTTTCCCGTTCTTCCTCAATCTGTTTAAATCTCTGTTGCTTCTTTTGTTTTTTCTTTTTAAGATACTCTCTATTGTAACCTTTGCCATGCCTGAAAGAAGGTACAAATGTTTTATAAAACAGATAGACAGATTCATATGCGTTCTGAGATATAGACATAATATGTCAATATTATGGTGTGGGGCATATGAATTCATACAGATTTCGAGTTTTAAGGTTAGGCATACACTTAAACAAGACCAGATCAAAGGACAAGTCTTAAAACTTTTTAAGAGTACAATTATGCTACAACACTCACTTTTTCCTATCACACAATTTAAATGAACAGAAAAGAAAGTACTTACTTTCCCTCGTCCCCACTGTGCGGTCTTTTCACACCTATACCTAATAACTTCACATCATTAACTGAGACTGCCTCCGAAGTTGTATAACCATCAAACCTTACTTTGAGAATGTCTGCAGACACTTCTTCTATTAGAGCCTCGTAAAACCTGAAAATGTATAGTTGGCACTTGTATTTAATTACCAAAAATATTATACTGTCATGAATGCAATATTTAATTTCAAATAACAATAATAAATACAGGAAACAAACCGAAGAGGAAAAATAAACTATTGTTTTTAATGTATAATAAAGGTGAATTTTAAGTAAATTGATAGAACAAAAAATATTATCTCCTATTGTACACAAAGTAGAGTTGGTTATAAGACACAACCTATCATTCGGTTAAACTCATGTTCATAGTCCAAGGCAAAGATTCGTGTGACTAATACTAAATAATATTACAAATACAAGGGTGCTGTTGAGATACTTACATGCCATCAGCTCTCCATTTGGCCAAGCACTTCTCACCTACCCTCCATTTGGACATAGGTCCCTCGTGGTCTCCCCTCTCGGCTGCCAGCAGCGACGCTGTAACATCATCATCATTACTAGTACCATGAATATCAGGCACTTTAGAGTCTCCATCTTGAGTTTTTATTAGATCTTGTGTCAACTCAATTACTTCTTCCAAATCCGTCTTTAATTTAAGCAGCTCTTCATTTTGAGAGTCGGTGAGTAACGCTGCTTCCACCTGCAACCAAGTAAAATATTAAACATGGTTTAATACATTACAACGATTACAAACGTAATTTTTTTTTGTAATAATATACTTGTACATTCTGTTGCAAAGTTACGCTACCTGCTGCAACTGCAGTTTGTAATTTCTTAAATCTTCAGCCATTACTGAAGATATTTTTCTATTTAGTCAAAGATTACAACACCTTTCTTCAACAATCACAAATCCAACCATCAAATGCGATTTCACTTTTTTTAGTCAGTCAAATGCACAGACTATGTCAAATGTCAGTGTTGAAATGTTTGAAGTAAAATATAGCTTTTTATCCACTATACTAATATCTAAGTGGAAAAAAAAGAAACTAATATACTATATAATACCACTGGATACTAGTTTATAAATAATAGTACTGGATTATGTCAAAATCAATCTACAGTTAAGAGTACATCAAGCTTGATAATTTTACTTTGGACTGTTCTTATCGTTAGCGGCATAGAGTTGGATTTGCCTTAAATGTCAAGCTTGACGTGCTCTTGACCCTGTACGAAACGGACGGGACGGATGAAAAGAAATTATGTACAAGATCGATCGATTTAAAGTAAATCAATTTAATGGTAAAATTTTCATTTGAAGCGCAGCTTTTTAGTTAATGTTGGGTTATGGAAAAATGTCCACTGAAAAAATAATGTTTTTTAGAAAAAAAATATTTATTCGGATATTTTTCCTTTAATTTTCCACATTTCACGTTGACACCTGTCAAAAGTTGAAGTAACTGAACGAAAACGATGGAGCCAACACGGGTCGTATTCTAGAACTCTATTCAATGCTCAAGTCAGGACTTGAGTATGATTCAAAGCACTAGAAATCATACTCAAGTCCTTGCCATTAGGGTCGTATTTCCAGTGCTTGAAATCATACTCAAGTCAGCTCAAATCCTGACTTGAGCATTGAATACAGTTCTGGAATACGACCCTTACAGGATGGACAAAAAAATAAAAGAAAAGATCTGCCCTAACTACAGAATCAACGTGCATATAACCAAAATTTGAAAGTTACAAATGGCGGATTCCTTTAGTGTTGTACCATAATCTATCGATAAGTCATTATCGACATGCAAATGTATGGCTTGAATGTTGAAACTGTTTTTTTTTGTTTCTTTAGTTTACTGTAGCCAAAGTATGCCTAAACAAACACAAGTCTAATAATTTAATCTCGAGTGGTATATTATTATAAATGTCAACACACATTTTTAAACTTAAAAAAAAAAAATATTTTCAAGATTAAAAACTGGTAACTTTTTTACTAAAAGTCACCAAACTGCTGTGCAGTTCGATGGCGACGTGCGCATTCTTACTTAATTATACCTACTTTACTGGTATATAACAGTACATAGTATTAATTGTACTTACTAAATAAAATATAAAAATTACTTTAATAGGTACGCCTTTTAGGAGCCTGTTGTGTAGCTGCTGGTAGGCAAATAAACACCGGTTGTTCAGGAGTCGAAGGCTATTGCTGTGGCTTGCTAGCTTGGTGTGGCTTGCTGTAGCTCGACATTTATTCAACGAATGTTACTACTTATATACTTTTGTATATCTTAGGAATAGTACAAGTCTAAGTGAGTAAGTAGTACATAGAGATGTTACGGCGCGGCTCCGCGCAAAGGCATAAATAGGACCCGCCGCGCGCTCGCCGTTCAGTGCACGCCGATGCGTTGAGCGCGGCGGATGCGTGGATGACTTGCAGCTACAGCCTTTAACGTACATTTTAGTACATATTTACATATCGTCTTTTAACTAACTGTCAAGTACAAGTCTTTTCAGGTTTCTGCGGATTCTAGTATTCACGTTACTGGCTTTCTTAAATAAATCAATCTATCAAGCGATTTTAACTGGTAACTTATTTAGTAATAGTCACCAAACTGTTGTACAGTTTGTTGGCGACATGCGCACTCTTACTTTTTAACGCACTCATTCAACATTGCCCTACCTATACCTACTTTACTGGTATATAACATTACATAGTATTAATTGTACTTACTAAATAAAATATAAAAATTACTTTAAGAGGTACATTCAAAGTTCTGTTAAAATTTGACTCTTCAAAATGAAGCGAACAAATGAAGATGGTCTTTGATCCAACGTTTATATTCGGCAGTCCTATGATTTCCAACCATTCTGTCTTCCGTTTTTCATTTGCAGGAAAACTTGAAATAATAATAATAAAACAATAAAAACCTCGTAGTGAATTGTTTTAATAACAGAATATCGATAATATGTATGCTTACAAGATCAACACTATCTCAAAATAATCTTTAACAACAATCATCAAAATATACAAACGAATAGGCAATCTAAAGTTACAAAAGCAAAATTTGCCAAGATTTATAAATAAACTACTTAAATAAGTCTAATTACATGAAATATTTGGGCTATTGTGTGATTTATAGACAAAAAAAATAACACATACCTGTGCAATGTAACATTCGATTGATTTGTTTTTTTTCTAAAGCCACATCCCTTAATGCTGCAGCGTTGCATTTATATTAATACCTAATTATTCTCACTGTCAATATTTTTGTCCAATTTAATTATAATACATGCGAATAATTCAATAGTACATTTGGAAAAACATTTGTTTTGACATTTGATGTCTTCCCTTTGACAACGGTATCATGTACCTCATGTACTGCGAAATAGACACAGTTAGCATTTAAGATGACGTTACGTATTTTCGATTCCTGTGTTTGACACAGACCAATGTAATGCTATCTCTTTTGGCTTAAGACGGTACGTAATAGTTAAACAAAGACAATAACATGTTTATGTTTTTGACGTCGAAATGCATCATATACATATAACGTCTGATTTATATATGTCAACGTAACATGTCCTTTAATTTGGTGTGGTTTTTGGAGGTTTTTCGCACTTGTAGAATATTTTTTATCTCTATTATTATTATTTCTCTTTAAGTGGCTTTTAGCCATTGGGTCAAGGAAAACTTCCATTTTGGAAAATCATATTTTTGAGGAAAATAAATATTTTCCGGATTTTCCTTTAACTTTCCATATTTGACGTTGATACCTGTCAAAAGTTGATGTTACTGAACGAACACGATGGAGCAAGCAACAAGTGGTGGTGGTGTGGTTGTTGGAGTTTTTTTTTGCTGTTGTGAAATCATTTTAAATCTCGTTTTTGTTTTTGTGGTTTTTAGCTATCTGTACAAGTTTATTTTATAATTCATGATAAATAACATTTCAAAATATAGAACATAATAATAAGCCTTCCAAATTATATTTTTTCAACTATCCGTGAATTTTTCCGGAAAAATTTCCACTATTTGAGATTTTTCGGAAAATTACCCAATAATACTTTTAGCTAAACTAGTTTATTTTATAATTCACACTAAATAAAACTTCAAAAGATATTTCTAAATTTAGAACATAACCTTTTCATTATTAACCTTCGAAATTGTCTTTGTCCAATTTATCAAAATTTTTCAATACTTCGGCAAGTTTTCCGGAAAAATTCCACTATTTGAAATTTTTCGGAAAATTATTCTTAGTACCCACCCACTAAAATTGCAAGCAATTTATGAACGGAACGGCAGTTCCTCAACCGATATGCAGAAAAGATACAATTTATTCTACAGATCGATTGTGTGAGCTTTAAAATTCGTGCAGGAAAAAAACAAAAAAGACTCGCTTTGGCGCATCGAGAATCAACATTCCACCTGAAATAATAAATGAATATAACACATTCATTTATTTTATTTTATTTCTATTAAGATAGAAATTTGCATATAGATTTTGTTAAGGTAAATGGGAAGATAGAATTACTACTAGTGATTCTTGCGTTCCTTGTAGGTATGTATGAAACGAGCCCTATACCCCGCCTATGGTGGGGTCGGGCTCGGCCTGCGGCGCGTGGTCGTTTTCAGATTACGGGGTGTGCTTATGCTCTTCGGTGGCACAGTGATTATTAGTACTATGGGCGCTTGATGAGGAGGTTCCAGTTTCGATACCTTATTTGAGCCAAATTATGAAAAAAATATTTTTAAGTTGGTCCTGGTCAGGGTATTCTGGGCATTGATTTCAGAATTATCGTTACTCTGGTACTCATAGTATAGGAAATTCCCTAGTTTGAGACCAGAAATTTGAAGTGATTATCTGGCATTTTTTCCTTAAATACTTCTTTTGGCATAGCTTCCAATAAAAAAGAAGCTAACAGAGAGACAGTCGAGATACAACAACGCTATAAGTTATATAAGTAAATATGATATTATTTCCACTACATCTGGAAGTATGCCTTACATTTTGAACAATTGTGAAATCTAGTCCCCATATACTACCTACTTAAGGAGGCGTGTAGACGCTTCGGGCTTCGACCTCCGCTAGAACTCAGCCTATGGCTTCAGCACTTATGACTTTAAAAAAATTAACATAGCTCTTTAATGGCGGCCATGTTGATAAATGGCAAAAAGTAAATTTTGGCTGCAAATTATTATTAAACACCCATAGAGAACCCCTCATGGCGATTTTAAGTAGAATTAGAGCAAAATTTTATCAACCGCTAAAAAGTTTGTAGAAGGCTTCGAAATTTGTATGGCGGCCATCTTGTTTATTTGATTTTCGAGCATTTTTTACTTTCTGTAGAAATTGATCAAGGTGTTGTATCTCATAAAAGTGCACAAAATCCCCCTATGTATTATAGTTTTTGCAGGCCGTTGATCACTCGTTTACATTTCCCACATTCAGGTCTTCTCATATTTGATTCTTTGCCTTGGAGCCTATCCGCGTACAACGGTATAAATATCTTTTTTCCACCATATCGGGAAGTATGCGTTCTACTTTTCTAAGTGAGTCAGAATTTGTAGCTTTATATATATAACATGGCCAAACCATTTCATTAGAGTTCTTGGCTTTTCATTCAATTTTCCGAAATGTCGGCTAACCGCGACCGGTGGTGGCCAGATTTTTGTGCCACCTATACAGAGTGATAAAAAGTTAGTAAGGTAGCTAGTTAGGTAATAACCACTGTCTCTTCTTCTACCCCTTTCCCGTTTTACCTATATATATCTCACCAATGACAATTACTAACATAATAACTACTATAACTTATACGGCTTCGCATGAAATTCTCCCACAGCGGGGCAGCATAAGCCTCCTAAGGCGTGATTCCGCCATTAGTTTTTTTCCCGCCATTTTCTTATGATGGGATATGTGCGCATTTGACAACTTATCTGATGGAAAGTGACGATGATAATGCACACAAAAATGCTTAATATTCACAAAATGCTTATTATTCATTCTCACCTTGAAAGTTATAATAATATCGTACGCAAAGCGAAGGATGTTGATTATAATATAGATTGTAAGAGATAGCTCTAAAAATGTTAGCGCGCCATTAAAAAAAAAGACTGCTTGAAATTATCTGAGGGAAATCTATAATACGGCAATATCCGATTAAAACACAATATATGGATATACCAGAAAATCAATTTTATTTACGTATAAAAATATTAATAAAAGTCTTTTAAAATTGTTACACGTATATACTTATTCAAATCATTATGGTCCTTTATGCTGTAAATAATGTACAAATGTAAGTCAATGACAAATGCTTAAAATTATTTAGATTATTCAGAAAATAGTTTATTTTACAAGTAAATTTAGATGCTATAATAGCCTAGTTTGGGAGGATTACGATATAGTATACCGCAATCGCCCAGTTGCATGACGCGAAGGTTTTCGCGCGGCCGCCGCGCGGCGGTTTCCACCCTTTCACGTACGTTAATGGCGAATCTGACTTCTATTTACTAGGCAACAACATTTAAATTCCTCTGAATAATACAACCGCGCGGTCGCCGCGTAAGCCAAAGACAATCCAGTCTCGCCCGCGCGCCCGTGACGCTCATTTAAGATATAACGTAAAAGCGAAATGAATAGACCGTACTTTGCCATAACAGTTAGGTGCACGCGGTCGCTGCGCGGCGGCAATGCGGTCTTCGTGCGGCGGCGTGAGCGCGATGAAATTCGTGTTGAATACATGCGCCCTAACAATACTCATAAGCCAAGAAAATATTAAAAGCCTCAAAAGGTTTTTTGTTGCATACTCATTAGTAATATAATTCATGCAGATGAGAGTACAACACTGTTGAGTTTCATCTGCTAAGTCAAATAAGTTAAATTAAGTCTTACATTAAATATACAACTTAAGCAAGTTATCTCAAGTTTTAAATAAATATATTATGTAAGTAATATACAATGATTATTCTCCGTCTGGTTATTAAATTCACTTGTTATGTTACATTATTCAAACTTTAATGTATGTTTAAGTGACTTAAGTGACAAAGTATTTGACTTTGCACGGTTAAAATGTGTTAACATTAATTATTACCAGAGATCGAAAAAAGTAGAGCGTTATATATTAGTATATTATATATTTTACATATATGTTAGTCTTTAAGATATGTATTTTATGGGTCATTGTTGCCGGAATAAAAAATAAAATATTGATCTAAACTTCAAGAAAGTGATTGATACAAATAGAGTGAATAATACCTCCCCCTGAAATCCCGGAATTATTGGATTATAAGCTATTCCCCTGCTTAAAAGGTTGGTTTACGATATCGGTACTACAAAAGGCGAAGCGAAAATCTGACGAGAGGTATGGGTTAATAGCCTTCGGCTCGCCCTTTCATCCGATGGCGCAGTCAAGGCCATCAGCGGCCAATTGCAAAGTGTCCTTCACACAAAATAAATGAAAAAAAAATGCCAAGTAGCATTGTTGCTCATTCATTTGTCATGTCAACATCGTAGCAAGACTGTATTTGCCATTTTTGTGAGATAGCCACTATTTTGGTTTACTATCCGTAGGTGCTAGTATTTTTTCTAAAATAGGTTGGTTATTTTTGAAGTTATTTGTTAAATGTTTATAAAGTACTTTTTTCATGATACCAAGTGACGAAACGAACAAGTCGTGCCTACCTGGCATTAAGCGACATGCTTGTTCATAGCAGTTGCAGTGCGAATCACAGTTTTAAATTCCAAAGATCTGAGGGACACTGCCACTGCGCCTGTCACCCTGAGACATACATTGATAAGTCTCTGTGCCTGTAATTTGATGTACAAATTGATTAAGTGGTTCAGCTCAATTGTTTTCTTTTTTTTCAAACTTAACTAATTAATTTTTAATAGGCTAAAAGTATTGTATTTTGTTATATACCTATTACTTATGTGTGTGTAGCTTTAATATTGTAGTGTAAAAAAAACGATTTATTTTTTGCTTTCATGTTTTATTATTCCGGGATTTCTTATTGAGGAGTTATTATAAACTCTATGAGTATCACCTGAAGTTTAAGCAAATATACTCTGCCTATTTCGATGTAAGACAATTACATATTTTGTAAAACAAACAATAATCTCGTATGAAAATATTCAGAGTAATAATACAAATGCGTTTTGGAATCAGTGTTATTGTTTTCTTTATATTATAAACGTTTTATTTATTTCATTGATGTAATGTTTAAAAAACGTATTATTTCTATTACTGCCGAAATTTGTCTTCAAACTAATTGTAGTGTCAGATTAGTGGGTATGCATGCATTGTCATTGTTGCCAGTCAGTCGACAATAAACGTTGATTACAGGTAGACGCGATCTTTTATTTCGTATAATATATTACAGTGGTTTACGAGGATTGGGATTTGTAATTTTGCGAGCGGAAAGTGAATTGTGTTCTCGGGACTGTGGATAGTGTGATTCACAAGGATTTTAAGCAGCGTCCGAACAATGTCAGTGGGGAAAATCGACGAGTTTGATGTCGGAAGCGGTAAGTGGTCATCTTATGTGGACCGGTTGGAAATGTATTTTGTGGCCCACAGCATTAAGGACGAATTAAAATTACCGACACTCATCGCTTTAATGGGGGACGCGGCATATGAGCTGTTGGAGAACCTTGCGAGCCCTACGAAGCCCTCGTCAATGACTTACAGTGAAGTGGTGGCACTATTACGTAACCATCTGCAACCTATCCCGTCGGCTCTCGCGGACCGGTACCTATTTCGACAACGTAGACAACTTAGCGGTGAGAATATTGCGAACTACGTCACGGAGTTAAAACGATTGACGCGTAATTGTAAGTTCGGTGCAAATCTTAACGAAAATTTGCGCGACCAATTTATTTGCGGGCTAAAAAGTGACGTCATACGTCAGAGGCTATTCGCCGAAGACGACTCGATATCGTGCCATAATGCAGCCATTGCTGGCGGCGGCGGCGGGATCAGCCGCAGCAGGAGCGGTTGCTACGGTTGCGGCGCAACCGATCACGACTATGCCGTGTGTCGGTTCCGCGACTACGAGTGCAGTCGGTGCAGAAGTGTGGGGCACCTGCGCCGGGTCTGCCCGGAATATGGGCACGCTCCGCGATCCGCGGCACTGCACCACGGGGACGCGGAGGAGATCGACGAGGAAGAGTTCCAGGAAGAAGACTTTCATCAATTATGTTTGAATCATTACAGAGCGGTGAGTCTCCCTGTAAAAATAGACAGTCGAACGATCCAAATGGAAGTGGATACGGGAACGGCCGTATCGTGTATAAGTAAAGACACTTACTATAAAAATTTTAGTTATCACAGGATCGAACAGAACGAAATAATGTTAAACTTTTATGACGGATCAAAAATTAAACCGTTAGGCATCATAAAACCTAATTTTAGTGTCGGAGGAAAAAGTAAACAGTTAGAATTATTTATCATAGACGGAGGAACCACGTCGTTACTTGGCAGGCAGTGGTTGTCGGAATTAAAAATTAGAATCCCAGAATTTAGCAGTTGTCATAATGTAAGTAGTGATTACAAACAAATGAACTGATTATTAGGTATAAGGAGTTATTCAGCGGCGGTTTGGGGCGGTTCACGGGAGGCAAGGCTCATCTGCGGGTGCGGGAGGGTGCAGCGGGCGTCTTTGACCGCGCGCGGCCGGTGCCGTACGCGCTTCGCGAGCGCCTCGACGCTGCGCTGGACGACATGCTGGCCGCCGGCGTCATCGAGCCCGTCGATTGCTCCGACTGGGCCTCGCCGCTCGTACTGGTAAATAAGCCTGATGGTTCTTTGAGGATCTGTGCGGACTACAAAGCTACACTGAACCCTGTACTGCTGATAGACCGATATCCGTTGTCTACAATAGACGACCTAATGGTGAACCTTGAAGGGGCGCGGTATTATTCAAAAATCGACTTATCACAAGCATATAATCAAATTGAATTAGACGAGACGAAAAAGTTTACGGTAATAAATACGCACCGCGGTTTATTTCGCTATAATCAGTTGGTATATGGGTTATCCTCGAGCCCTGGCATATTTCAAAGAATAATGTGCAATCTACTGAAAGGCATTCCGAACGTAGAAATATTTCTGGATGACGTCATAATTTGCGGTAAGAGCGAGGAGGAACACTTAGCGGCAGTTTTCAGTAAATTGCACAGTAACGGGTTAAAACTAAAGGCTAGTAAGTGCGTATTTTTAGTGGATGAAGTTCGATATCTAGGTTACGTTATAGGAAAGGATGGTATAAAAACAGACTCGTCAAAAATCGAGGCGATCGTGAATATGCCTAGACCAATGGATGTAAAACAGTGTAAGCCGTTTCTAGGTATAGTCAATTTTTATGGAAAGTTCGTAAGGAATATGAACGTTAAATTGGTCCCGTTATACGAGTTATTGCAAAAAGGTAGGGAATGGTCATGGTCCACGGAGTGTGAATTGGCGTTCATTGAAATCAAGGAGCTGCTTTCGAATGCGGAAACACTAGCATACTATGATCCTAGGAAGCCTCTGATTGTCACGTGTGACGCGAGCCCGTATGGCGTCGGCGGAGTACTCAGTCAGCTGGGCGCGGACGGACGCAGCGAGCGGTCAGTCGCCTACACCTCGCGCACGCTCACTGACGCAGAGAAAAATTACTCGCAAATACATCGTGAGGCGCTAGCGATTATATTCAGTGTAAATAAATTTCACCAGTATTTGTATGGCCGCCGGTTTACGCTTAGGACCGACCATAAGCCGTTGGTGTCAAAATTCGGACCCAATACTGGCATTCCAACAATGATAATAATATGGCGGTAATATTATCAACATATTCTTATGATATCGAGTACGTGCGTACTGATTGGAACGGGGCGGACGGGTTCTCGCGGTTGCCGATTACCACCAGTGAATCGAGTCAAAAGAGTGCGCCGGAGCAAACATATTTAAATTTCGTACAGGACGCTTTATTGTTGGACTACCATGAAATTAAACGGGAGACCTCACGAGACCCATCGCTATCAAGACTCTTAAGTTATATCCGAGACGGCTGGCCCGAACAGAACCAGATCGTGAATTTACAACCGTTTGTTAATCGGAAAAGCGAATTATACGAAGAATGAGGATGTATAATGTGGGGCCACAGACTCGTAGTCCCGGAGAAATGTAGGGTAAAAGTTTTGAGTATGATACACGAACCACATATGGGAATCGTAAAGTCAAAGGACTTGGCGCGCAGCTACTAGTGGAGAGCGCGTGCCGAGCGTGCGCGGTGTGCGCGGCACAGGCGGATGCGCCTCCGCACCAGGCGCCGTGCACGTGGCCCTGGCCACGCCGCCCATGGACCAGACTACATTTGGATTTCCTGGGTCCCATCGCGGGCTGCACCTACTTGGTAGTAGTGGATGCGCTGTCCAAATGGATGGAAGTGTTTAACGTTAGCAGTACAACGGCGAACAGACTTATAGATTGTCTGAGTGAATTATTTAGTAGATGGGGAATTCCACGGCAAATCGTAGTGATAACAGACCACAATTTACGTCAAAAGAATTCGAAAGTTATATTAAAAATAATGGAATCGAACATATATTCACTGCACCTTACCATCCAACGGTCTAGCCGAAAATGCGGTTAGGACTATAAAACGAGTTATTAAAAAAGCGTTACAGGAAAAATGTAAAGTTGATAGGGCTTTGTGGTCATTTCTTACATACTACAGAAATGTAGAACACGCTACGACCGGTGAGAATCCATCCATGTTACTGTTAGATAGGCGGTTACGCACCCGGTTAGATTTAATTAAGCCCGATAGGAAGGCGCAGGTTCTACGAGCCCAACAAAGGCAGAAAAACGCTGCAGGAGGCGTAAATAGAACGGTCAATGAAGGGGAAGAAGTATGGTATAGATTATTCTTGAAAGGGGAAAAATGGGCGCCCGGCAGTGTAGTTGACTCTTTGGGACCCAATAACGTTAAAGTAATAAGCAGTAGTGGGGAAACCGTACATCGTCATGTCGATCAGTTACGGAGACGGTCTAACAGCACTCGGTTATCTATTGTTTCAACATCATCTAGATTAGAAAAAAAAGAAAGCACAAGTCCTCAGCCTCAGTCTGCACCAGATAGATCGTTCAACAGCCCGGTATACGGGACAGACAAAATTGAGAGCGAACAGGAGGAGGGGTCGCCAGGCTCGGCGACTCGAACGCCTTCGAAGCACCATACATCTGAGAGAGTGGAACGGGAAAGTCCTGTTACGCCTGAGTGGCAGTTTGCATCGCCTACCACGTCGCCGACGCCACCACAACCGCCCCGAACTCGCATGATCCGACAGTGTAGAATTAATAAGGTTCCTAATTATAAATTTTAGATATTAAGGGTTTAGTAATATCGTAAGTGTTAAATTAGTGTGAAGGAGTGTAGTGTCAGATTAGTGGGTATGCATGCATTGTCATTGTTGCCAGTCAGTCGACAATAAACGTTGATTACAGGTAGACGGGATCTTTTATTTCGTATAATATATTACACTAATCTTCACATTTGAATTAGGTTGAAAATTTAATATCAATTTCAATCAATAACAATTAAGTTTTGTCAGCATTTAATTTTTGTTTTTCTTTATTTTTGTAATAGTAATTAGTTAGTTCTCATAGTAATTAGCATTTTAAATGATTCCCTCGAGTATTGAAATAATCTTGATTATTTTTGGTAATTTTTGAAGTAGTCACCCCTTTTAATGTCATCAATTACTACAACACCAGGACACCTTACTTACTATCAATATTTTTACGTATCGACACTGACGAGATGGCTCTGCAGCGCCGTGGACTGGTGGTACCGGCGACGCGAAGCGAAGTCCTCATTGTCGTCATTCAGTCTTTCTTGTTCGACTGTGATGTCCGCATGTACAGGCGTTACTACTAGCTGTTCGTATTCTAGTGGTCGCTTACTGAAATTGAATAGAAAGAGCTGACAAATAAATTTCACGTACCCATTATGAACTTGTTTAATAGAGTTGAGATGTCTTTTTTTAACCGACTTTAAAATGATAGGTTCTCAATTCGACTGTATTTTTTTGTTACGCGATTACTCCGACATTTGGAAACCGACTTCAATGATTCTTTTTTGTTGGAAAGGGGGCACTTCAATAGTGGTAGTGGTGGTTGGAAGAAAATATTCCATGGCAAATTAGGGGCTGAATTGATTCGATTTCACCACCTTTTAATTAACCGATTTCAATAAAACTTGGCAAATAGACGTAATTCCACAAATTTTTGAGGTCGGTTTTTTTTACAAAAAGCATAAAAGTTATGAATATTAAGTACAAAAAAAGGGGAAATTGGTATCATTCGTATTCAAATAAACTCGAAGTTGGGAATGGCACATGACCTTTACCATCACAATCACAATTCGTATGATTGAAGTCTTACCCTATAGCTTGTAAGAAAGACATCTTAAGCCAACGGAAAAATTTAAATTCAGAGGCGCGTCCAGGCTTGACGGCGGGATTGGCGGCGCCGATGTACAGCCACAACAGCCATAGAATGGACAGGCATCCTAAAGCGTACATCCAGTGCACTAGGAACATTAGGAGAAGCTTAATCGCAACCTGAAACGAATTTTAAATATGATTTAAGCTATACGATTTTCTGTGCAGGTTTTACTGGTTTCTCTTTCACAACGAGCTCTACTACTTCTTATTATTTACTTTAGCTAAATTAATTCCCTCAATTCCGATCGCTGCTCATCAGATATCGTTATTTTAACACTAACTTGATAGGTACCAACAAATGGACGTCGGGTCTAATACAAAAACCACGAAAAAAATGTCCGAAGTTAACCTATACAAACGTAATGACATGTAACGAAATATAAAAAAACTAAAACATTTAATTTAAATTGTAACGTCATTGTAGTACTGCCTAATTTAGCTTGCAACAATTTAAAGATTGGATGCTTAACAAAATGCACCATAATTAGCTTCGACTGAAAATTACTAGAACACAACAGTAATGGGGCAGCCTTTATTGTAAATATTAATTAAGTTTTATGTATATTACTATGTCACATTTTGTACAAATTCACTTCAAGATTTAATAAAGAGTTGGGCAGATACATACATACAAATATTACAAATGTGAAAATAAGCGTGTACTATAAGAAATGTACCGATATTCCAACTAAACGTAAACTCAAATATCCGCAATGCCGAAAACCTATTATAATATTTATAATAAAACAGTTACGTTTTCAAGTAATTTTGATGCTTCTCACAAAGCCAAAATTAGCTTTTGTTTTGTAACATTCCTAAAAAAATATATTTGACATTATGAAAATTAGAGCTAACGTTATTTCGGGCAAATGTATTTTGTGACTTCTGATAGGTAATCCCTAGTCGTAAAACGAGTACAACAATATTTTGTTAGTTATTGCTAACGTTTAATAAAAAGTCATTCTAAAAAATAAAATTAAAATCAAGACGACTCTATAGTTTCTTTGTTCCAAATATTTCAATCGCTTATGGTTCGAATAATTCAAAATGACCAAGAAGTTTATATAAGCTTCTTGAAATTGACGTAATGGGTCTCTTTCCATCTTTTGCGCATGCAATGTGTAGAAAAAGGACAGTTAGTTATTTGATTATTTTGTTCGCTTTTGTAATTTATATTTACGATTTATTTATATATAAAATAAATATTGTACAACTGTACAAAACAATACTTTTAAATGATAACTATGATAACACAATATATTTATTTAGTGAAAATATGATACAGAATCCAGTTTTTACACTTTACTGCAGTAATTTTTACAAGTTATTATTATATGGTACTGCATGATTGATAACCGCGCTGTCAGTCGAACAAACGAAGACTGTTGCGCGATTGCCGCTCTTTATGCGATTTTAACGCCCTATAGGTGCGGACACTTTTTAGCCCGACGAACAAGATGTCCATTTGTTAGTAGGTCAATGTTACAGAGAGAAAATATCGCATTATGGCCACGTTTTCTTAGTAACACATATACGTAATGGTAATTCTTACCCCAGCCAAAGACAGCCATCGATTGCATAAATGTGAGTACCAGTTCTTGTTCTTGGAATGGACGACGACACTCGGCCGGCGCACGTCGCCGTTCGACATTCGGCCGTTCATTATTGCCGGGTCCGTTGGAGAGGGAGTTAGGTCCTAAACATGAGCAAAGATCTTTAGGACAGTCACTAAAGTCGAAGACAAATTACAGCGTCATGGGGTCGGACACATAGCTTTAAAGTGATTCCATATGTACCCAAAAAAAACAATTGTGCAAAACTGCCGTAAGCCTCAATAGTATCAGAACCCCTGTCGCCAAAACTCACACAATCATTATAATGTTAAACACTATGAAATCTTGACAATGATTGGTCGTAGTTTCTAATTCAAAAAGATGTAACAAATTCTAGACTGTTAATATTCAAACTTTACCCAGTTGGCATATCGTTGAAAGTTCAAAACCTATTATTGCAAGTTACGATGTTTTAATTTTATACTGAAATTTCATTCAATGTTCTGCATTTTAGCGGCAATAGTTGAAAGATTATGAGACGACGAATGATTAAAGCCCATTAACGTTCTTAAAAAAAGGCGACTATATTGCAGCGATATAAGGTTTACTTTCGTTTCTTATATCTATTATGATATATAGAAATAGAATTTATTAAAATTTAATAAAATAAGACTTAACGATGATCTCATGGATAATATTACAGGTAAGATTATTATTTTTATACTTACGCCAACAGTCTTATGTCTAATCCTTTCAGGGAATAAAAGATCCAAATCGCTTCCTGTAGCGCCATACACTTGACTTTGCCCCTGTGAGTGACCCTGGAATCTGTAAACAGAAGATATATGTTTTAGAATTTCCATTATCAACCAGTTTATACGTTCTACTGCTGGGCAAGGGTCTCTTCTTAGGCCAGGGTTTAGGCCACAGTTCGCCACGATGACCAAATGCGGGTTGGGGACTTGACACGTTTTCCGAGGGCTGTGAACCTTCTTCAATGTGTAGGTTTTTTCACGATGTTTTCCTTCACCGAAAAGGTCATGGTAAATTTAAATTAAATTTCGAGAAACTTAGAGATGCGAGTTCGGATTCGAGTCCACGGCCTTTGCTTGTGAGGCGGCATTTCAAATTAATAGGTTACCACGGCTTTTTTGTAAAAGACTATTTCAAAATCGTTTAAAGGCATCCAATTTTCTTTAAATTAACAGGAGTGTATTGTCTTGTACGCAAATATTGTCTCAGTTAAGACTTATAGGTTTCTAGTGAAATGTGTATGAAAGCGACATGACTACTAAGTGTACAAATTGATATCATGTATAAGTGTCTTTTCTTATCAACGGATTTTGCCACTAATTTAAAATTTAAAATTTGCGAGTCTTGCACGAGGGAATTGCAGGATACGTTTGCTGACAGTGCATTCTTCATAGACGGGGATGGGCACTGGGTAAAAATCCTACCAAACCGCCCGTGTTTTAACTCAAAGTTTATTAAAGATTTTAACCCATTTCTGCCTAAAATCGTGGACGGAAACGGCAAATACGAAATTTGGTATAATTCTATACTTATTACTATTCATTTAGTAGCAATAGAGATCCTTGTGAGAAAGTTCTTTCAGGGAAGTACTGCCATTTTATCTATTTCTGCCGCCAAGCAGTAATGTCAGTAATATTGTGTTCCGGTTTTGAAGGGTAGGAGTGCTGGTGAAATTACAGGCAGATGGAACTTGTCAACTTATGTCTCAGGGTGACGGGCGCAGTGGCAGTGACTCTCATATCTTTGCGATTTAAAGCTCTGAGTGATACTGCAATTGTTATAGACAGGCGTGTAGCTTACCAACAGGCACACGACTTGTTCGTCCCGTCAATGGACATTATATTAAAAAATTGACTAAAAAAATCCTTTTTTAAAATTGCAAACCTGTGGATTTCCACTACTGAGGATGCACATTACGGTTCGATTTTTATGAATATCGATTCGTGTGCGTACATATACGATCTACCGATTTTTTGTATCGATTTATTTCAATGCGACTTTCGAACGAATCGATTCTATATCGATTCTAGATCGAATAAATATTCTCTAATAATATCATTAATTATGACCAAAACTCGATTTATAATAAATATATAGTTGTAAATAGTTTTTGCCCTAGATTTCAGGCGTTAACGGGTTTACACTCGGATTTAACAAAGAGCCGCGTTAAAACCCGGATGCCCATCTCTGTTCATAGATAAAATTTCACAGATTAATAATCAGAAGAAATCCGCGTGCAGAAAAAGGCACCTTAAAAGAAATGCATACCTCATCTCGCGTTTGTGTTGCAAATCAAAACATTGGGCGAGAGCAAAGTAAGAGTAATCAATGCTAGCGTATGTGATGAGGAAGGGCATGGTGACAATTGGAGCGAGCGCATTTATATCGCCGATTATGATGAACGTAATCGTCACTATCGCAACTACCACCATCGAGTATATTGGCACTTTGTTCGGGCCACGCTGTGAAACAAAATGATTAAACGTAAAATAATGGAACCAGGTGTTTGGACTACATGATGTGATTATTAAGTCATGTAAAAAAAGAAAAAAACAATTCCGGATCATCTACTAAATAATATATTCAGTCAATGGCAATGTAATGACCAAAAGGAGCTTGATATTGCATGAAGTGATAACAAAACATTGAATAATAATTATATTTTAAACCACTATGAAGTTGGGTCGTCTGTACTATTACAAACAAGAAATTTAAAACAATTTCAACAATATATGTTTACTTCTTAAGTAATGTATAATAAATAATAAGTAGGCATTATAAGACTTACCCCCTGTCCAAGAATTGCTAAGCCAGGTATAACTTTCTCATTGGCAATACTCTGTAACACTCTCGGTGTCCCATACATAGCTCCAAGACACGCACTCATGGAACTGACATACAACCCTGCTAGAAGCAGGACTTTGACTTGGGACACTTCTGCCGTGATCGAAAGATTGTCTAGCAAGCCTTGCCTTGTCACTGTACCTGCCAGTGTTATTATGAATATGAGGTATAAAAACGTCCTGAAAAAAAGTAAAGCAGATTGTCAATCAAATACTGTACTTGTATTTTGAATGTAGTGCTGTTCAATCATTTTTTTACCCAGTACTAATAGCAGCCAAGGATCCGTTAGGAATATTCACTGAAGGATTTTTTAAATCGCCACTCATGTTAATGCCAGCTAAAATGCCAGTGATAGTGGGGAAGAACACGCCGAAACATTTGAACCATGAGTACCCTGGTAGATCATCAAGAGGCCATGTGTTGTTTCCTATTACTCCACTGCCCCAACCTCGAAAATCTTTAGCTGAAATATAGTTTTTTGTAAGTTAACAGTAACTCAAAAATGATAACGATGTATAACGTGGATTGGACCATGCGTGAAGACACGAAAATTTGTTGTTAAAATTTCAATTACATAGATCAAACCATGGTCTTTTTATGAAATAAACTTACTGGGATCTCCACCAGTTATGGACCCCACTAAGAAGTCTAGAGCCGCCAACAAGATTATCAAAAGCAGTATAAATTGTAACTTGATGACCCATTTCACTCCAGCGACGTTGATACTGGCTAGTAGGACCAGAGCCACAATGGCAAACCCACGGGCAGGCCACTGATCTGCCCCTGATACCACTAAGCTGGCTATGGACTCACCAAAACCATACACATTTAAGGCACATCCCACGGCCTGTAAAAAATTTAGATTGATTAATATATACCAATGCATCATGACAAGAATAATTGAGAGTTAGACAAAAATTAAAAATAATTTAATATGCTGGTTATGACGTCGATATAGCATGATATAACGCCCATTTAAACCTAGGTGGGTTAAAAGGGCATTGCTCATGCAATAAAGATTTTATGAAAACACAAATATTTATATGTATATAAACATTTCTTTATTTTGTTTGTTTAGGATTTTAGGTTACAATTAATTATATTACAAAGATTTAAATTGTCTTATTGATTAAAGGAGAAATAAATAGTAAAGTAAGAAGTTAATAACTTACTTGTCCAAAGCAATAAATCATGCCCAGTGTTCCACCCATTCTAGAGCCCAATGTATGTGCCAGTAAGAAGTAGACTCCGCCACTTTCTATTCTGCATCTGTCACAAATACCCACTGCCGAAAGGACTGAGATCAGGGCTACAAACACTGTAAATAAAATTACATTATCATCACATTTTTTTATTCATACATATTTATTCATACTGTATTATTTTTTATTCATACTTTTATTTATGACACTTAAAATATGTAAATATAGACTCATGACAACTGAACAGCTGTTGTAAGTATTAATTTGAATTTCAACAGCATCAATTAACACTATGCTGACTCGAATTCTGTCGATTTTGCGTTTTTAATACCAAATTATTCAGCTAATTGAAATTTAATTCAAAATTAAGAAAATAAAACAAAAAGTAATAATCATATATTTTATATATATACATATCTATGAAGAATAACTTGTAGTAAATAAATATTATTAAATGTAGAAAATTAAAAAGTTATCACAACTTTTAAAAGTTGCTATTTTTATGTTTGCATAGTGTTCATTGCTGGTGTCAATTTTACCTTATTGGCTAAATGCAAACTAAAACATACAAAAATGCAACAATTAATGCTGTTTTGGAAATGAAACTAGTGTTTAGGATCTAAATAGTGTGTATTTGTTTTTTCAAAGAAGTCAATTTTCGAGCCCTTTACATGGTGACTTCTGACTGAATTGAATTGAAAACACAAAGTATGTCATACTTTAGATCTGCAAAAAATAGTTTCATTTCCAATCATGAAACCTAAGAACTTAATACCAATGCTTTACCCAATCCAATGATTAGACAAAGCATGAAACAGTTCTATGTAACTTACTTTCATGCTTGCTATATGCCATATGCAGGGTGAAAATTTGAAAGCAAACAGTTCAGCTACAGGTACGACATACAGGTAGACACTCTGTATGGTCTTAAATATACATTCAGTATAGTCTAAATTATTTCCATGAGAGTTTATGCATTGTACATAAATATGTCTGTAAAAGTGATTTAAACAATTTGGACTAATAAAAAATGGTTATCTATAATTTTAAACAATCTAATACAGTCGTAAAACACATAAACAACTCTTTTAAAAGTAGGAAACAATGCAGATTATACAAATTGCTATTACTAGAATTTGTTTTCCTTTCCTATTTGCAGTAAGAGTGACTAATATGTAACTTGTTTATAATTTCAATGTTCATTTTTTATTGAATTTAATGACAAATAGGGAAAAGTTTAGTTACAGCTATAGTAAATAATAATTGTTGTTATTGCTTTATACAAAATGTTAATTCTGAACTTCCAGTGAGTTATTTATTAATTTGACTGATATAAAAATGTTGTTCGACTTATCATCTTCTATTATGTTAGTAACTAAAAACATAGACGAACTACACTTGCAGGTGATAGCTAAGAAACATATATCCTACTAAACTTAAAACATTTTTAACAATACTACTTTAATATTAAGGAAGCTGAGCTAATACAGATGGACAAATTAATAAACAACAACAGCTAAAACGGTGGTGACCCTAAAGTGAGAACCTAAACCATAAGTTCCCACTTTAGACTCACCGCCCACTTAGGCTAGACAAAAAAATTTCAACGCCTACCACCACAAAAACTAATTAGAAACACATATTTTTTATATCAACTTAACACAAAATGATCACAAAGAAAAATAATTATATATTTGTAGTGTAGTTTATACAGATCATTCAGGTTTATTTTGAAATGCAGTAGCACCCCCTGGACAGAATCAACGCCCCAATTGCATTCGAGGTCCCAACCGCCCCCTAGGACTCTTCACCACCCACAGTAGTGACCATTTTGGGAAAATATAAGCTAAACTGACAGAGAAGTAAAAGTAAACAAATTACCTGTAAAAATAACTATAAATACAGCATTAACCAATCCAGCTTGACCTACAAGCCAGCCGGAACGTAAGAACACAATAACTCCGAATATATTGATCAGACATGATGTGAATACTCCATCCCATGTACTAAATAACACTGGTTGAGATATGAAAAAGTTTGATTTCCACCAAGGTACATCTCCCTGTAATGATAGACATATCAAAATAATAAATTAATTTAAAGCATGTCCCACAAATTTAAAATTTATAATTGTGTGTAGTCTGGTAATTGCCTGCAGCCTATGTCCATGTATCAAGGTGGAACCTAAAAGGCAGCATGTAGTGCTGAGGCTCCAAATTATTAGCAATAGATTCCACTACATTTCCAAAACTGCACCTCTATTAACCTTTTCTTTCATGTACATGTGCTTATGAATAAATGTCTTATTATTATATTATATCAAGTCTATAGAATATAGTGATGTCATAGATAAAGAAATCAATTGATAAAAATGGACTAAATTTCATTGTTCAACATTTTTAATTTCTTCGCTTTTCTATAGACACGAAACTAATGGATCAAAAAAGGAAATAATATGTTGTGAATAAGCCCAAGTTACAATAATACAACAAGTTACATGCAAAATAAAACTTTTACTGTTAGTTGACATACAATGACCTAAGATAGAGTCGATATAATGTAGGCGTAAAAATGCGGGGTTAACTCTACCTGTATATCTGCGAAGATTTCGTTGGCGCCAGAGGCTTGATGACCACCACTGCCATATTGTGACTCATTTCCTAAGTCCACAAATCCACCAGATTGTCTTCTCATACGAGCCCTATCATAGCCAGGCTCATCACTTCGAAAACTATCTATATCCAAATCAGTTCTTCTAGATCGATTGCTCTGATCCATTTTATGTTTATTCTAAAGATTACATATGGTTAAAATGGAATTATTGTTTACAATACCGCTACAGAATCGCTAGATTCTCAAGCAATTTGCTTTTGCAAATTTTGCAGCAGTGTTTTTATATAGTGAAGTATCAAAATTTACAACATAGTCATAAAGACACCACCACTGTTTGTCGTAATATGGGTAATAATATATTAAAATGAAAGAAGTAGTGTAGATCAAAATTATAAAAATAATGCGAAATTGCTACATGAACAAACAACGTCAAATGTCGAATTGACACACAGGTCTCGAAAGTCAAAATGTTTTTTTTATTGGTTTTTACGGTTCTGGATACTTTGAATTTTAAGCCAAAATCGTCAACTCGTCAAAATGATCACAAATTCACAAATTATAAAACGAAAATATTACACTTACAAAGTTATAACATAACATCATTTACTTACAAATAAATGGACGTCGGGTCCGCGCTAAAAAGTGTCCGAACTTACAGGGCGTTAAAATCGTATACAGAGCGTCAATCACGCTTTAGTCTTCGTTTGTTCGACTGACAGCGCGCTTGTCAATGATGCCGTATTGTGTGGTAAAGCCTTGTAAAAATTACTCAACTAAAGTGAAAAAACAGGATGGTATATTATATTTTCAGTAAGTACTAAATTGTGTTATCATAGTTATCATTTAAAAGTGTTATTTTATGCACTAGTATACATATATAGTATTTAATTTATATTTAAATTAATCGTAAATATAAATTAGAAAAGCAATCAAATAGCTAACTGTCTCTTTCCGACACATTGCTTGCGTAAAAGACTGAACGAGACCCACCACGTCAATTTCAATTATTTGAAACACAAGCGTTTGAAAATTTAGAACAAAAGTTTCATAGAGTCGCTTTGATGCTAATGTTATTATTAAAATATTTTTTAATACATGTTAGTAATACTTTCAAATATTATTGTACTCTTCTACAGCTCGGGGTTACGAATCAGAAGACCGAAAATACATTTGCCCGAAATAACGTTTGCATGAACGTCCATAATCCCGAAAGTATTTTTTTAGGTTTTTCGGGAGAAATATGTGTATGGCCTACATTTATTTATCTCGTGAGTTTGGGTGTAATTTGTGGTTGTCTGTATGTGTGTCTATGGCACCTGCGACACAAGGTTCCCTTAATGCGAGGCAATGTTGAGTGTGTGCGTTATTATAATTATTATTATTAATTAGTACCTAAGTGTTTATTTTGGAAAGCGTTTCTCTTGCGCAATCAATATCGCGCATTTTAATTTTGTAATTATCTCAGAACGGCAAATACCCTACTATCGTCATAGCCGTACTTTTTCAAGCACAAGAACATTTGCAAGAACGTTTCAGCAGTACGACTATGCCTGTTGACTGAATCAACCGTTGTCAGTGATAAACCGTAATAATTATATTGAATCAATGTAAGCACTACGGCATATAGAAAAGTGGTGACGTTTTCACGAATTTCAGTACTACACGAACGGGTTAAGAAAATGGTAAGAAAAGAAAGGAAACCAGAGCTGATGCAAGCTTGATAAAAGGCCATCATATTAAAGCTTTGGTATGTGATTACATCAATGAGTGAACTGTGCATAGAAATGAGAGAATACAGGAATTTATCCAGGAAACAGCTTGAACTGAAGAAAGTGACAAGTATTAACAGAGAACATCTTACACCGCCAAAATGCATTAAAAATCAAAAGTTGGATGAATGACAAAATATACCAACTTAAGAAACAAAGAAGGTAATTGAAGCAGACTGACAGTGCAAATTAAATGGGATTTTTATAAAAGTTTAAGCAATTTGTAGCTTTCACATGCAAACAATGCATAATAATACAAATAGTACACCCTGGATAGCCTAACGGTTTGCACTGTGGGCACTGGATGAGAAGTTCCCGGGTTCGATACCGGTAGGATCAATTGAACAAATTAACTTTTCTAAATGGTTCTTGTCTTGGTATTCTATTGTAAGACAATCACCTGGTCTGAAACTAGGGAACTCTCTGTATATACTCCCCATGAGTATCAGAGCAACAGAATCCCAGAGCAGAACCAATTTACAAAAGTTAATTTCCCAAATTGGTCCTACTGGGAGTCGAACCTGGGACCACGAACGATGGAATTTATTCCGGGGCATAACTCAGAACACCCAGGCCAAAACAACTCTCGAAAAGTTCACATTTAGTTTTATAGTTGATTGAGCTAATTTTTTACGGTTTTTAAAAAATTCTCGAATAACTCGAGAAATCGGGTACGAGAACTCGAAACTCAAGAAAAAAAGTCAGACACCCTAGCTCGTAATAAATGGCATTGTATAAAATTCAACATTTATGTATAAAATTTATTTATAAATAATAAAGGCTACTCCATTACACCTCTGTTCAAGTAGATTTCACTAGAAGCTACATATGTTGCATTTTGGTAAGCTTCCAGTAGAAGCGGAATATGGTGTTTTTTGCGCCTTTCAATTTTTGCAAGCAAAATTAGACAGTACTGCAATGACGTTACAATTTAAATTCAACGTTTTAGCTTTTTCATATTCCTTTATATGTCACTACGTTTAAATAGGTTGACTTGGGATATTGTTTTCGTGGTTTTTGTATTAGACCCGTCGTCCATTTATTTGTAAGTCAATGCATAACGTGAAAACATTTTAAATTTCGTTCACTACATTAATTAAAAAGGTACATTTTGTTCAAAATTGGTGGAAATCTGTACAGTTATCCTCTAAAATCAGCTTATTATTACCCAAAATCGGTACAGAAAAAAATTCAATAATTTTTATAAACTGTCTAATTGAAATTTGGTAAAATATCAAATTTAGTTAATATGAATAAATAAAATTATTCAGTGTTATAACCGTAACTAAAACTTAATAAAACTAATGTGTATTATTTTTGATAATCTCAGTACAGAGTATTAAATAAACCGATCTCAAAACTCATTTATCCCTTAGTTTGCCACCCTTAGAGGTAGATTATTTTCTTCAAATTGAATGTGACCAGTCTTTCCAACAAAAAAGAATCATCAAAATCGGTCCACAATTGATGGAGAAAACAGTAAGTACACTGACACACCTATAAAATTTGAGGATTTTCCTCGATTCCTATGGATCCTCTCATCAGATTATGACTTTCGAGGTGGTCCCTGATGCCGACGATGCTGACCCGGGATAGTTTCGGCTTATCACAAAATGAAAAAAATATTTTACGCAAACAAAAGTCGACTTTTTGCTTGACACAATACATGTAATCAACAAATCACCGTCACTATGACAACCAGAAAAAAAGTACAAAATGTACAAAGGAGTCCGTAACAGTCCCGTTGTCTGGTGAAGTTAGAATCTGATGATGTGATCACATGGAAATCGAAAAAAGCCGATACGCAAACTTTCGAGGTCGGTATTTTTTCAATGAAAGTGTTACAATTATTTGTTTATAATTATTTGTACCATTGAGTACTGGGTTTTTTAGTAACAGTTATTACACAACACAACTAATTTTTAGTTTATTATTAAGTTTTTAATTTATTAATTATATATATATGTATATCCTAATGACTGTATAGCCAATAAATAAATAATTATAACAATAAATAAATGATTTTAGTAATAAGTAAGCAGATAGATTTTTGTGAGAATGATTCTAACTAAATTGTCTAGCAAACACATACTTATTACATTTTGGTATGTTTCGAGATAGAAAATGAAATGTACGTGTGTTTCATATAACAAACAACTAAACTGTTTATTTTCTGAAACTATTAACTTTAAAAGAAATTATTCAGAAATAGAAGTACTAGAAATAGCACTATTCTCATCAGTCATATATCATCAGTTTAGACTTACCGTGCTGTGCATAAAGATTTTTTTTCAGTTATGTTACAATTACTGTATTCTAAATTTTTATTGAATTGATATTCAATTGTTTTTTGTGAAATTACTCCATTAATTTGTTATAATTATTAATACTAAGATCGAAGATTCAGAAAAAAATCCTTCGATTCGGCCGGATTCGAACCGACGTCTTCTAGCTCGAAAGATCTTTTTCTGAGTGTTCAATCTTTGTATTAATAGTTTTAACAAACTAGTGGAGTAATTTCACAAAAAACAATTGAATATTAATTCAATAAAAATGTAGAATACAGTGAATAGCGACATCTCTCGCCAGGACTGGTAGCTGTAAAGGGATCTGACTGGGTGATAAAACTTTCATAGATTTTTCATAGATGGCGCTACGACTAAAAGTCGTTGAAAAACCGAATACAAAGACACGACAACAAGCAAATGGAAAAATTCGTAAGGTCCGCTGGTTCGTTCCGTGGCTTAGTTGGTATAGCGTCTGTTACGGTATGCTAGAAGGTGTCGGTTCGAATCCGGCCGGATCGAAGGAATTTTTTCTGAGTGTTCGATCTTTGTATTAATAATTATGTTACAATTATTACGAAGTTTTCACAGCTACCTATGAATTAGCTCAATTTAATTGTTAATTTGCATTTAATAGAGCAGTGATTGACTTAACAGTTGGCCTATTGCGCTGTTTTAGGGTCGTATTCTAGAACTCTACTCAATACTTTAGTCAGGACTTGAGTATTGCAGTGAGCACTGAAAATCATACCCAAGCCCTTGACAATAGGGTCGTATTTCCAGTGCTTGAAATCATACTCAAGTATGCTCAAATCCCCTGACATAAGCATTGAGTAGAGTTTTAGAATACGACCCGTAATTTCATAAGATTAATATACGAGAATGTGCAGGTATGTGTGGAATTACCCAAATTCCCTATAAACCATAAACAAACGACATAGCCAACGATTGGAAATGTAAAGTCGGTAAAAAAAAATCGAAAGAAATTACTTGCTTTCTTAAGATTGTGGAAAATTAGTTAGATACTTCGGTAGGGTAGTCTACGTACGGGCAGAAGTACTGAAAAATCGACAGGATGGTATGGTATGGTGTAACGGGCTGATATCCGCAA